AATCAAGTGCCCAGCAAAAGCAACAGCCCAACAAAACAACCAGCAGCCCAACACCCTGCAGCTCAACAGCCCATGATCCTAACAGCCCAACCAGCCCAACCAGCCCAACAACCCAACAGCCAACCCAACAGCCAACCCAACAGCCCAACGCAGCCCCAACAAGCCAACAGCCCATCAGCCCAGCAGCCCAACAGACAAGCCCAAAACCTTAAACGCACAAACAGCCATACAGCCTAACAGCCCAGCAGAGCCACACAGCCCACAAGCCGGGCCCACAAGCCCAACAACAGCCTGCAGCCCAATAAACGCACAAAAAGCCCCAAGAAGCCCTGCCCAGCACAAACACAACAGCCGAACAGCCTTACATGCCCAGCAAAAGCAATAGCCAAACAAAATAACAAACAGCCCAGCAGCCTGCAGCCCAACAGTGCATGAGGTTAACAGCCCAACCAGCCCAACCAGAGCCCAACAACCCAACAGCCCAGTCCAGAGCCCCTGGCCAACCAGCCCCACTTCCCCCACCAAACTGGGACCAGCAGGGGATCATCCTGGGCACTTCCCCCACCAAACTGGGCCCAGCAAGGGATCACCCTGGGCACTTCCCCCACCAAACTGGGACCAGCAAGGGATCACCCTGACCACGTCCCCCACCAAACTGGGACCAGCAAAAGATCAGCCTGGGCACTTCCCCCACCAAACTGGGACCAGCAGGGGATCACCCTGGGCACTTCCCCCACCAAACTGCGACCAGCAGGGGATCACCCAACCGCCCATCAGCCCAGAAAGCCAAGCCCTAAACCCTAAACACACAAACATTACACCCTAGCAGCCCAACAGTCCCAAACAGCCCTACACACAACCCAAGAACCAAACAGCCCTGCCCAGCACAAACACAACAGCCCAACAGCTTTACATGCCCAGCAAAAGCAACAGCCCCAACAAACAGCCCAGCAACCGGCCCAGCAGCCCATGAGGTTCACAGCCCAACCAGCCCAACAGCCAACCCCAGCCCAGAGCCCTGGCCAACAACCGCCCATAAGTCGGTTCCTCGATCTCGGGGCTTTTGTTTACCCAGGCGGGGGCGCTTCCCGAGATCTCCTCGACTTCAACGTGCCCCTGAAACGGGGCTGTAGTGTACTTCCCGTCCTCCCGTGCAGCACGCGCTGAAAACACCGCAAATACCAGCATGTTCTTGCCCCGAGCGCGGAAACATCGCAAATAGCAGTGTTTTGGTAAGAGCACCCGTTATTTTCTTGTCCCGAGCCAATGGTAAGGACACCTGTTCAAGTGCACTCGTTTGGCACTGTATCCATGCCAGCCAAATGGTAAGAACACCCGTTCAAGCGTACTCGCTCAGCACTGTATCCATGCCAGCCAAATGGTAAGAACACCCGTTCAAGTGCAGTCGCTCAGCACTGTATCCATGCCAGCCAAATGGTAAGAACACCCGTTCAAGTGCACTCGCTCAGCGCTGTTTCCATGCCAGCCAAATGGTCTGTGCACTCGCTCAGCACTGTATCCATGCCAGCCAAATGGTAAGAACACCCGTTCAAGTGCACTCCCCCCCTTCTACGGCAAGTTTGTGGTGTGTCTTTTTCAATCGCTTCTCCGGAAAGGCTACCCTTCTAAGGCGGCGGCGCCCGGAAGTGAGTGAGTGAGTGCGTGAGCAAGTGAGTGAATGAGTAAGTGAGTGAGGGCGGAGGGAGGCGGCGGGAGGAAGGAAGGAAGGAAAAAAGGAGGAGACAGCGGCGACGGACGACGAGCGGAAAAAGTAAGAACCCCGCACAATGATATGGGGAAAACCGAACGAACATCTATTTAACTATCTCGGGTAATAAATTTTGCAATTATAATGAGAATTGCGGGATAAGTCATATTATACGCTATCTATCTATCACCCTTACTAGAAGCTTACGCCAACCACAAAATCTACAATCATTCCGGGACTCCCCCATACCCGTCTATGTATGAGCATCACAACCCCCAAGTGGCTTATTACCAAGACGACCTCCGTACAAGCATCGCGACCGAGGTACCTTACGCACTAACCGGAAATCCAGACAAATACACAAAACACAAAGAAAAACAGACAGAGAAAAAGAGAGGGAGAAAGAAACAAAAGACGAGAGAGAAAGAGAGAGAGAGAGAGAGAGAAAAAGAAACAACAAAGAGAAAGACGGAGAAAGGAAGCAAGAAAGAAATAAAACAAAAAGAAAGAAAGAAAGAAAGCAGGAAAGAAAGAAAGAAAGAAAGAAAGAAAGAAAGAAAGAAAGAAAGAAAGAAAGAAAGAAAGAAAGAAAGAAGAAAGAACGAAAGAAAGAAAGAAAGAAAGAAAGAAAGAATGAATCAAAGAATCAAAGAAAGACAGAGCGAGAGAGAGAGAGAGAGAGAGCAAAAAAGAGAAACAAAGAGACAAAGAAAATAAGAGAAAAACACAGAACAAACATAATAACCAACAAACAAAAACAAAAAGAGAAAAAATAAGGAAAAAAAGAAAAACAAAGAAACACATAAAAAAAAGAGAAAGAAAGAGATATAAATAGAAAGATAGAGAGAGAGAGAGGGACAAAGAGAGAAGAAACAGAACAAAGAGAAAAAAAAAAGAAACAGAAAGAGAGACAAAGAGAGAGAGAGAGAGAGAGAGAGAAACAGAAAGAGAGAGAGGGAAGAGAGACAGAGAGAGAGAGAGAGAGAGAGAGAGAGAGAGAGAGAGAGAGAGAGAGAGAGAGAGAGAGAGAGAGAGAGAGAGAGAAATAAAGAGAGAGAGAGAGAGAGAAACACAGAGAGGCAAAGAGACAAAAAGACAGAGAGAGAGAGAGAGAGAGAGAGAGAGAGAGAGAGAGAGAGAGACAGACGTAGAGAGAGGCAGAGAGACAGAGACAGAGAGAGAAAGAGAGAGAGAGAGAGAGAGAGAGAGAATTGAAGAGAAAGAGAGACCGAGAGAAACAAAGCCAGAGCAGAAAGAGGCCAGAGCCAAACAGAGAGACAGAGAGACAGAGAGACAAAGAGACAGAGAGAAAAGAGGGAATAGGGAAAGAGAGAAAGAGGGAAAGAGAGAAAGAGAGAAAGAGAGAAAACGGGAAAGAGGGAAAGAGGGAAAGAGGGAAAGAGGGAAAGAGGGAAAGAGGGAAAGAGGGAAAGATGGAAAGAGGTTGCCGGAGGCGGCCCAGATTCGGGAAACATTGGCCGGGTTATGCCGCGAGAGCTCTAGTCTAAGCGAAGATCCGAAGAACCCCGCCAGATTTCCGCAAAATTGCGGAGCACGACAATTCGGCCGGAGTACCGCTGCAGCGGCTCTACGGTGTACTGGAAATGCGACCCAGAGGCCGCACTGGTATATAGGAGATTAATATATCCAATATTCATTTGAGTAGCGTTTTTTTCGCAGATGATGGATTTTTGCTTCGTGGGGAACTCCCAAAAGCTCCGCGAAGGCACTTGTGCGATACATTGTGTACCGCGAAGCCCCGCGAAGCCATTTCGCGTAGCCCGGTAACATTGACATAGGCGAAGCCATTTCGCGAAGCCACTTCGTGGTTTGAGTGTATTGCATGCTTTCATGGCAAGTGTGTTGTGCGCTTCCAAAGGTTGATGTTTAGAGGCAGTAGGCTGCGACAAGATTGCAGGAAGATTACGGGAAGACGACCGGAAGAGCATTATGCGTTGCAGGCCCGGTTTTGCTAGAAACGATAGAGCGTTTTCGCGAAGCCCCCACGAAGCCCCCACGAAGCCCCCACGAAGCCTCCGCGAAGCCTCCGCGAAGCCACCGCGGTCCAACTTCTATGCTCCGCCCCTTTGAGGTGTAGCCATATCCCTAGTCCTGAAGCTCAATGCCTCTCTTGCCGCCTTTTATCGCCCCCCTTTCGCATGGACTCAACTTAATGCAACAACATGGGGGGCCGCAAACAGCAGAGATGTTTTGTGGAACAAATATCTATAAAGCCCGGCGAAGCCATTCCGCGAAGCCACAGTCTTGCCGCGAAGCCTCGCGAAGCCAACCCTTCCACAAATCCTGGCCCCGCGAAGCCCCCCCCCATAACCTCCCCAGCAGTATATAAGCCCTAAATCTCTAAAAAAAACAATGCTTATTTTGAAACAAATAAAATAAACCAATTATTATACTTTAACTTAATTAAAATCAGCTTTATATTTCCAATAAATAAAAAATAATATTTCTCACCTATTTTCATTACTCAATATCTAAAAATCATTTTCTCTAAATATATATATATCTATATGTATATATATAATATATATATATATATATATAAATTCGGACAATACATATACATATAATATATATACATATTGTAAATATACATATATATTCAATTTCAATATATTTTAATAATTAACATAATTCGAAAACATCAGGATAAATCAATCAAAATCACCAAAACACCAACCACAACACCATCAGCACACACACACACACAACACACACCCCAATTTTAAAAACGAACCATCCAAAAAGCTAAAAAAAAAGAAAAGCTCGCGATGTTTCGGCGAATTTATGGATTTATGTTGGGGTAAGGGAGCCAACATTTCGACAAAAATGGGATGGTGCTATCCCCGTCAGAAGCGCTCAAATATCCAGCTTTACGTCCGCCAAATTTCCCGGGGTTCCAAGCCCACGCGGACCAAAAAGCAGGCACCGCGCAGGCCCGCAACCGAATCAACTATAAACCGACTGAGGTTGCGGAACAAAGGCTTCACGACGCAATCCGAAGCCGCAAGTATGCGCGCTCAAATTTACTCAGGGATACATTTGTTGTAACAATCTATCTTAATACATTGGTAGCCTTTTTATGTCCCCGCTCATCACATTGTTCTCATCCAAGTGAAGCCTCGCAGAAGTTAGCGAGGTTACGCCCGCAAAAGCCGAAAGAGCAACAATGCCAGCGCCAACACCGCGCCCGCTGACAAGAACAACAAGAACAAACAGGACTAAACAACAACAACCAACAACCAACAACCAACAAACAACAACCAACAACCAACAAACAACAACCAACAACCAACAAACAACAACCAACAACCAACAACCCCAACCAACAACCAACAACCGACAACCGACAACCAACAACCAACAACCAACAACCAACAACCAACAACCAACAACCAACAACCAACCACCACCACCACCACAACAACAACAACAACAACAACCACAACCACAACCACAAGAACCACAAGAACCACAAGAACCACAAGAACCACAAGAACCACAAGAACCACAAGAACCACAAGAACCACAAGAACCACAACAACAATAACAACCACAACCACAAGCACAACCACAACAACAAGAACAAGAACAAGAACAAGAACAACAACAGCAGCAGCAGCAACAACAACACCAACAACCACAACCACAACCACAACCACAGCCACAGCCACAGCCACAACAACAACAACGACGACAACGACAACGACAACGACAACGACAACGACACCGACAACCGACAATCACAACAACAACCGAGAACCGACAACCGGCAACCGACAACCAATAACAACAACCACAAGAAAAACCCGATCAAGCTGATGGCAAGTCGGCAATAAGACATGCGTTGCTTGTCGGGGCAGTTGAAACCTCGCGACTGCCAGCGCTGGGGGAGCTGCGTTTGTTTCAGAATGAAGAGTTGGCAAATCCGAATCCCTCGAAGGGGAAGCCATTGCAAAAGGAGCTCGCAGCTCAAGATCCTTTTCTCTACTGCATATAAGACATCAATGAATTGGGTATCCAAACAAGAAACGCCTTGCCCCGAACCTGTGTTTGGTTTTTATACGACACAAAATCTGAAAATCAAGACACACGCCTCTCCCATGGGCCTGTGCCATGGGCCTCGCTGCGTCGTATTAGCTACTGAAATAGATATGCGTCGGAAACAAAGTTTGGGAACAAATGCTGAGCTGTCTCTGTCAGATGTCATTTAAGGGCGTGCCCGCTAACAATCAGAGCACCGTGGCGCGTGCTCGCAGGCCAAGCAGCTGAAGACCCCGAGCATGGAAAAGCAGGCGCCCATGAGGAACAGCAAGGCCAGGCCAAGCTGACAAGGGACACATGCGCGATTTACACACGCAACCCCCTACACAACTTCATGAATAGCAATACTTCGAGATCCGTCCATGGTGAAAAGGGTTCTGGAGCCTGTGCAACACCACACAGGCTTTTGTGCATTTGTGCATTTGTGCGGCAGATCCTTCAAGACAAGCCTAGCCTCAAACAGAGACACCCGCAAGCCAAGAAGACTTGGTCCCAAACCAAGCCGTACGCAAGCCTTTACCGTCTCTTGCCTGGCATCTTGTGGGGCAGTCACACATGTGGAAAACAGGAGCACCGTCTCGCCAACACCACTGGCATTCCTAAACCAACTCGCTTAATTTCTGGTCGCGGTCGCGCTTGATTGACCCGGCGCCGACGCCCAGCCTGTTCGAACCATGGCAGCGTTCGCGTCTGCCTCGCAACGAATGTTTGCGAGGTTCTGAGTTCCCCCCCCTCTCTCTACATGCCAAGGCCCGCTGCATTCGGCTTGACTAAGCTTCGTTGCCACTGCCAACAACGCCTGTCTCTGACTTGGTCGCGCGGAATAGTCCCGCGCCGTGTGACAGGCTCAACAACACGCTTGCCCCATATGCATTGACAGCTGTCTCCGAAAGCAACACCACCTACTGTAGCATCCTCACATAATCTATACAGCATCCTCTTGGTTTCCCTGGAAAAACATTGCACGTGCATTACTGGCGGGGAGTGCAGGCGAGTTCCGAAGGGTCGAACCTGGCTCATGACTCACTCGAAGGAATCAATGACCACTGCAATGGACACCCGTCCCTGCAAATCCAGACGCAAAGAAACAACCAATCCGAGTGCCTGGACAGCTTCCAGTAGCACAGCACCGGCATAGTGAACGCCTTACGTGCGCTGGCTGTGAACTTGCGGCTCGCACAGAAACTCAGCCAAGGCGCACTTCAGACAAATGAGTTTCGCGCGATTGCTCAGGATGGTTTGCGGAAAAGAAGGTTGCTTGTGTGTAATACAAATACGCAGGCTTTCTATACTCAATGCATTATGCTCTTCCTCTTCTAATTCTTTGTTTCTTCTTCATTCCTTCCTTCCGAATTCTTTCTTTCTTTCTGCCTTTATTCCTTCCTTTCTTTCGCTCTTGCCTTCCGTCCCTCTTTACTTATGTATTTCTTTCCTTTCTTTCTGTCGATCTCCCTCACTTCTCTATCTCTTCCTACCTATCTACCCGTCTATCTTATCCCTCTATGGATCCTATCTACCCGATCCTGCCCTTGGATCTATCTATCTATCTAGCTATACCTAGCCTCTCTCTATTTATCAGAAGAAGCTTAGAGAGTAAAAAAGAACTAGACGACGGATGGCCCGGAAGCAAAGCAACACGTTAAATCAACTCTGACGCCTCCCTCACCTCATGAGAAGCCAAGCGTGAACACGTCAATGTCCCTGCTCAAGCCTAGCCCCTGCAAGTTCTGATGAGCAAGCTTAGCATCATGCTTCGCTACTTCGGTTGTGTGCAATGTTGTGAGTCAATGCGCGCGAAGCTGTGCGTAATGCCGTGATGCTGCGCATGATGTTGCAAATCATGCTGCGCGTGACGCTGTGCGTGATGTTGCCCATGATGCTCTACAACACCTCTTTGTCCACTCTTTGTGCCCGTTTTTTGGGGTCAACCCCTCTTATCCAAATCAGTGGCTGCGCAAGAAGGCTGGCTTTCTTTGCCACGGAAGTGTACACGGAGATGCTTCTAAACGGAGATGCTTCTAAACTCCCTTACTCTAAAACACACTATACATGGTACTCAAACAAATCTTCAACAATACCAGTTGGGATTTTCTTGCTTTACATGGTTGTCTAAAAGTGGGGCACAGATGGGCGCTGTTCCGGGCGCGTTTGAGAAGCTGGGCAGGCAAGATGCCGCCAAATCTGGAGCCAGGAACGAAATGGACTTGTGTTACTCTTTTGCAGCTACGCGAGCAAAAGAGGAGATTCGAACCGTCGACCTGGCCATCGCGAAAATCTGTGCCCCGGGCAATGTTTGCGCAAATTGCACCGCCGATGCAGTTCAGCAGTACGGTGAGCTGTTGGGCAAAACAGGCTGCAGCTCCTGCACATTGGCCCGAGAATGACACTGAATGAACCTAGCTGGAATCAAAGCAGGAAACCTCGCCATGCAAGCAAAAACCATTCGGCTTTTGAGGCAGCAGGAATAGAAGCTATTGCAAACAAGTCGGAGATATTGGCCATTGCTTCCAACATGGAACCCCTGTTGGGCTTATCACCTTTTTCAGGAGAAAAAGAAGAAATGGATACTTGTGGTACTTGTGCGTTGATCAGCATTCCCTTCGGGTTTCAAGTGACCAAGGGTAACTTTTCCCATGTGGGACATGTGTCACTCTTGATCAACCCCCACTTGCGACTTGTACCAGCCCTCTCCTCCAGAGGCAGCCAGAATGGATGTCAGCAAGACTCCTGTCTTGCTAAAGTCGCGGACCCGCGATTATGCTTCCTGCCCAAAGCACTTGGATGTATATATATATATATATATGAGGAGCGGACGAAACCCTTTACTTGGCCCTAATACTTTGTTGAACGTTATCGTTTTTGGGGGAGACCTTATCGTTTTACAGTGTTTTTGAACTTTGGCAGATCCGGCTCGAAAATCGCAACTTTGTCGTGCAAGTCTAGTACGCGAAGTACACTTCCGCAGCTCCAGATCGAAAATCGCGTCTAGTGCGCACAGCACACTTCCGCATCTCCAGCTCGAAATCGCAACTGTGTAGTGCAAGTCTAGTACGCGAGGTACACTTCCGCATCCCCAGCTCGAAAAATCGCTGTGTAGTACAAGTCTAGTACGCGAAGTACACATACTTCCGCAGCTCACGATCGAAAATCGCAACTTTGTAGCACAAGTCTCGCACGCGAAGTACAATTCCGCAGCTCCAGCTCGAAAGTCGCAACTTTGTAGCACAAGTCTAGTACGCGAAGTACACTTTCGCAGCTCCAGCTCGAAAATCGCAACTTGGTAGTACAAGTCTAGTACGCGAAGCACACTTCCGCAGCTCCAGCTCGCTAATCGCAACTTTGTAGTACAAGTCTAGTACGCGAAGTACACTTCCGCATCTCCAGCTCGAAGATCACAACTTTGTGGCGCAAGTCCAGTGCGCGAAGTTTACTTCCGTAGCCCCAGCTCCAAATCGCAACTTTGTAGTGCAAGTCTAGTACGCGAAGTGCACTTCCGCAGCTCCAGCTCGAAAATCGCAACTTTGTGATAAAGAATAGTACGCGAAGTACACCTTCCGCAGCTCCAGCTCAACTTTCTTTGTAGCACAAGTCTGGTACGCGAAGTACACTTCCGCAGCTCCAGCATGAAAATCGCAACTTTGTAGCACAAGTGTAGTACGCGAAGTACACTTCCGCAGCTCCAGCTCGAAAATCTCAACTTTGTAGTACAAATCTAGTACGCGCAGTACACTTCCGCATCTCCAGCTCGAAAATCGCAACTTTGTAGTACAAGTCTAGTACGCGAAGTACACTTCCGCAGCTCCAGCTCGAAAATCGAAACTTCTAAGTACAAGTGTCGTATTTACGAAGCACAGCTTGGCAGCTCCAGCTCGAAAGTGGCGACTCGCCTTATCGTTTTACGTTGGCCAGGAAAGGGTCCCACCCTAAAGAGTTGCAACTGCAGGGGTTATTATAGAGCCGTGTGATAGCTAAGGGTTATCGTTTTTGGGGGAGACCTTATCGTTTTCCATGGTTTTGGCATGTGTTATGCAACAACGTACCCCGCCTTGATAAAGTGGTCTTCATAGGTTTTGTCCGTGCCTCATATATATTGGGCCAACTTGACTCAAAATGGTTCTTCTTTTTTAGGTGGCGTTCCTTTTGGTTTCCCGATAGAACAAAAAAGGAAAGGGGTACCTACCAAAATTCCCTTTCAAAGGGATGGGAATTGAGAAAGCGAAGCTATGCTGAAAATTGGCAGTAAATGCAAACATGCGGGTTTGTGGGGGTTCAATTTTGACCCATACCCAGTTGAGAACCTTGGAGTTTTGCTGGGGCCACTGGGCCGGGGCCCCAAGATTGGAGAGGGGTTCGTCTTGGCCGCTGAACGGGGGGAGGGGGCAGCACTGCGTCACCTACTTGCCGATTGCCGCGGTTCGTCTGGGCCTTGGGAGCTGCAGCCAGTAACGCCACATAAAGACGAGGTTAAGGTTGGCAGCACGTAGGCCTGCGCAAGACATGGATGAAGTGATTCCAAGGGATGAATCAATGATGTGTGCCTATCTGTGGAGATGGGATCCTGAGAATCAACCAGAAGCTCATCCATGCATGTTTTTTTCGGGTGATGCTTTTGCATAGCATCTCGAATCAGTCTGAGTCCAAGGGTATTTTTGGATTGTACTTTTCGGGGGCCAGGTTGTTTATTGGTTTATTGATTTAATAGCTCGTTTTGCACATGATTTTGCAGGTTTTGCTTGTTGCCCAACCCCGAAGTTTTTTCTCCTGTGCGTGGCAAAGAGGCGTGTCTTTAAGGTGCGCCTTATGCTGAGCCTGGAGGCGCCGTGCTCCGTTCGGCTGGGCCGTCTTTAAAAATACATGAAACAGAAATAACTAAATACATAAGTAGATGAAACAACAAAAAACAATATATATATATATATATATACATAAGTGAACATGTTTACTTGTTAGTGATGAAGTGAAGTGATGAAGTGAACATGGAGGCCGGCAGAGGGCCCAGCTGGCTCACACTTCTTTGCAGCCTGCTCAGCTTCTTTGCTGCAGGCAAGCCTCTGCTTGACATTCCAGAGCCTGGGCCTGCTGTGCAGGAGCTTGTTTGCTTGGCCAAAGATACTGGGATGATTGCACGATGAAAATTCGCGATTAATTTGCGATTATTTTGCGATCAGTTCGCCTCATTTTGCGATCAGCTTCTAACGAGATCAGCTCACACAGAAACGCGGTCAACTGAGATGTAAAGAACGATCAGTGAGCGTTGCGCAGATCAAAAATATACACACAAAAATAATAAAACTCATTGTACATATTTCTTGTATCAAACAATTCAGAAGATGCGGGACCTACTGCTTAAGCTGCCTGAGAAACAGACTGGCATGCACCAGATCCAAAAGTACGTTTCAACATATATCACTTCTATTTGTTCTTTATTCTGTTTTCTTTATTTTTTGTTTATTTTCAAATTCTAGCACAAAAGCAGCAGCCAGGCTGATGAGGCCAGCAGCATGGGCTGACCAGCGATCGGTGTACACAGAAAACGCGATCAATTCGGGATCAATTGGCATTAGTCAAGGCTTCGTAGTGCTCTCTGAATCCGAAGCCCGGCGAGTCAAACCAGCTGCAGAGACAAGATCGCTTCGACAGCGTTGGCTGGGCACGTAGACAAGATTGCTTCAGCAGTCAATTACATAAGCCAGAACGCAAGGCGCTGCCTAAGAGGGTTGTAGACCTGAAGCAAACAGCCACAGAGACGAGATTGCCTCTAAGCCAGTAAATCTGACGCAGAGCAGGCGTAGACAGTTGCGAGAGACGCAAGAAGCCTTGACAATCAATTAAGCCAGAACGCAAGGCGTGCCTAAGGCGCTGCCTAAATCGCTTCCATTTTACTAGCTAAACTAGCTCACCAAGAAATTGAGCCAGGCTGGTGCCTCTAAAAACCAGCTCAAAAGTAGCTCAAAACTAGTTCAGAAGTGGCTCAAAACCAGCTCAAAACTAGCTCAAATCTAGCTCAAAACTCTGAAAACCAGCTCAGAACTAGCTCAACCAGCTCAAAACTAGCTCAAATCTAGCTCAAAACTGGCTCACCAAGAAGTTGAGCCAGGCTGGTGCCTAGCTCAAAACCAGCTCAAAACTAGCTCAAATCTAGCTCACAAAGAAGTTGAGCCAGGCTGGTGCCTTTGAAAACCAACTCAAAATTAGCTCAAAACTAGCTCAAAACTAGCTCAGAACTAGCTCAAAACCAGCTCAAAACTAGCTCACCAAGAAGTTGAGCCAGGCTGGTGCCTTTGAACACCAGCTCAAAATTAGTTCAAAACTAGCTCAGAACCAGCTCAAAACCAGCTCAAAACTAGCTTGAATCTAACTCAAAACTAGCTCACCAAGAAGTTGAGCCATGCTGGTGCCTCTGAAAACCAGCTCAAAATTAGTTCAAAACTAGCTCAGAACTAGCTCAAAACCAGCTTAGTTCAAAACTAGCTCAGAACTAGCTCAAAACCAGCTCAAAACTAGCTCAAATTTTCAACAACCAAGAAGTTGCCTCTGAAAACGAGCTCAAAATTAGCTCAAAACTAGCTCAGAACTAGCTCAAAACCAGCTCAAAACTAGCTCAATTCTAGCTCAAAACTAGCTCACCAAGAAGTTGAGCCAAGGTGGTGCCTCTGAAAACCAGTTCAAAATTAGCTCAAAACTAGCTCAGAACTAGTCAAAACAGCTCAAAACTAGCTCAAAACTAGCTCACCAAGAAGTAAATCAACTCAAAATCAGCTCAAAACTAGCTCAGAACTAGCTCAGAACCAGCTCAAAACTAGCTCACAAAGAAGTTGAGCCATGCTGGTGCCTCTGAAAACTAGCAGCTCAAAACTAGCTCAGAACTAACTCAAAACCAGCTCAAAACTAGTTCAAATCTAGCTCAAAACTAGCTAGTAACCAGCTCACAATTAGCTCAAAACTAGCTCAGAACTATTCAAAACTAGCTCACAAAGAAGTTGAGCCAGGCTAGTGCCTCTGAACACCAGCTCAAAATTAGCTCAAAACTAGCTCAGAACTAGCTCAAAACCAGCTCAAAAATAGCCAGGCTGGTGCCTGCTCAAAACTAGCTCAAAACTAGCTCAAAACCAGCTCAAAACTAGCTCAAGCCAGGCTGGTGCCTCTGAAAAATTAGCTTAAAACCAGCTCAGAACTAGCTCGTAAAGAAGTTGAGCCAGGCTGGTGCCCCTGAAAACCAACTCAAGAACCAGCACAAAACTAGCTCAAAACTTGCTCACAAAGAAGTGTGAGCCAGGCTGGTGCAGCTGAACACTAGCTGAACACTACGTAGCTCAGAACTAGCTCGCAAAGAAGTTGAGCCAGGCTGGGCCCTCTGCAGGCCTCCATGTTCACTTCATCATAAATACAACTAAGAAGTAGACTTTATGTTTATTTATTTATTTGTCATTATTTTTTCATTTGTTTATATGTATAATTATGTCTGATTCATTTTTCAATTAACAACCAAGAAAAAAGAGAAGAACATCAACTAGAAAAACTTGGTTCAACCTGGCCCCCCAAAAGTACAGTCCAAAGGTGGGTGATTGAATGTATTCAGGTAGATCACACAATTTTGCAGAGCGCGTCATAAAGAACGCCTGACCTACTGTGGATGGATGAAATTCTGCACCAGTAGACGGTTTATAAAGGATTTCGCCATCCAACCTGGGGGATTTTGTCCATCCATGCAGTAGTGTTCATTATTTGCCGAAAAACCTTTTGCAAATTCGGCTGCGTGGCGGATCCAGTCACGGTTTTGATTCAACAGTCATTGAAGAGGAGACCCTTGCTTCCACTCCTCAGACGGATGTCAAACAGGTCACAGTACCCCCAAAGAACGGTCCATGATGCCTCCCTCTACTTGCCACGGCGGTGGCACGCGGTGGATGGTAGCCGAAGGAGCCCTTGAGCAATGTAAGGGCAAGTCTATCATGGTTGGGCTCCTTTCCGTTTACCCATGAAGGTTGGGGTCCTTTTGGTGTACTCTTAAACCCAGAAAGTGCCTCTCACTGACGAAACATGGGGGCCCCTGCAAGTCACAATCAAAACCTGGTATTCAAATGGTCCACCCAGAACCATGCAAAGAATGACGAAGGCGGCCGCACACATTTGTGGTTGGGACTGCCCCTTACTAACCCTCATCTGCCCGGGTTTTGAATGTGGCTCATGGGAAACCCGTAGCCAAAAAGATCGACTTCTGTCGGCTGAGCATTTGAACAACATCGCAAACAGCAAAGCTGTTCCCTGACCGCGATGAGTTGCCTGCATCACGAGGAGACGTATGGCCATACCAGCCTCACGGGACCGAGGTGACTATCATCAGCTCGCTGAGAGACAGCAGGCTGGCACTTGCTTGTGTGTTGCTCGTAACGCCGACTAGCAGAAAGAAACAAGCACGACACGTGCGTGTGCGCAGTGCTCATCATTTCGAACGTACGTCGCGACCCCATTGCTGTGCAGCCACAGAGAAGCGGCATACAAATATACGCACACATAAATTATGACACCACTCCACATTGCAAAATGACTCTGGGCCAATTGCGGCCGCAATTGGACCAGGCTGCAGCGCGTGCCCGACACACGCGATTCTGAATCGCCTTCATTCTCCAATTCGGATGCCCAATACAAGAAACTTTCATTTCGGGCAAGGTCGCAAGCCCCTTACTTGCTGAGATCCCGAACTAGCTTCCTGCAGAAGTATTCGACCGCAGTCCAACTATGCCACAACGCGCAAGCAAAAGCAATTGCTGATAACTCGAGTGCAACAGTTGCCATGCCAGTATTGGGTACGCAGGGAAGAAAACTCGAGAAGCGGGCCACGCTCAGTTTTGGCGCGGGCTGGGAAGGAATCGGTCTCTGAGGAAACCAAAGGAGACCTTCTGAGTTTCTGAGAACCTTTCTAGAAAACGGTAGGGGAGTTGATTTCATCACAGGCGGCCCAATCTGATTTACAGCTGGTGGTTGGCTACTTACATTGAGGAATAGCTTGTCACGTCTACTTCAAGAATGGGTAGTGCCTTCTGTGACACGAGCAGGGCCCAAGTCAGAACTCGCAACGCACGTAGGTTGGACGCAAGTTCAGCAACTGCCTAGCAACCAACACCTACGCATTGCCAATCGGACACTTCAACTGGCTCAAGCAGTTTATCGTCTTAAGTCATGATATGAGGAAATCGAAACAATCAAGGCTTAGCTGATTGGAATCCAGTGTTATTCAGAGATCAAACAACACATGTTGTTTTCATTCAGGCAGGCCGAAAGCCAAGACATAACAAGGACCATTTGGAATCTTGACTGAACAACTATCTAGCGCAGCATAATCAACTATCTAGCGCAGCATAATCATTCGTCTGACAAGCGATCGCAATGCAAGGAACCTTGGGCGAGGTCGCAAACTCCTGCGAGCCGGATATTCAAGACCTGGGAAAGGGAGTGTAAGCACCATGTGAATGAGTAAAAGAGCGGTGGCGAATTTGCCTGAACCATCCGGACACGTATTGCAAGTCGGGCATGCAGGGAGATTGAGCATTTGTTTGCAAGTGCACAAGAGCGAAAAGGGTCCTATGTCCTCCTTGAAACGTTCTAGGAAGGAACGGGCCAAGGCCTCACTCATTTGGAATATCAGTAAATTGGGCGATGGGATAAAATGGACCGAATGGGTATATATATATATATTAATTTACATATCATGAAAGCTTTGACAATCCCGTGCGCGTGCATCCGCGCGGCCGCCGAAGCCGCTGCCATCCAGTGCATGTGCGGCAGCGGCCTGACGTGCTAACTGGACTTGCCCATCAAATGTTGCGATTCACCAGCGGATTCACACGAAACTTCGATTGGATGTCCACAAAGGAACTTGAGGGACACCTATCTTCCAAGAGCGCGAAGGCGTCTGCGATTTTGGGTTCAGGCACCATGCGTGCCTGAGCAACTGCAAGAGCGCCCAGAATTTGGGTATGCCCTTTTTGGACCTTCGGGACTCCCCCCAAAACATCATAATGGTGAGCACCCCATGTCCTCCTGTTGCATCGCAAACCAAGGCGTGCGCGAGGATAGACACAACGTTTTTTTCAAGGGAAGACTCTCCTTTTCGTTGGTCTTTGGAGCATTCCAACCGACAATGACGAACATGACGCAGTGGCGTGGATACAGCGACCATTATCTTTGCAACACAAGGCACATATCGCAACGAAACGATCGCTCGGCCAGTGATATGGCCGTAATATCAAGGGTTAGACGGGCGGCCTTCAGCCAAAATTATCACATCCAGTTGCTTAAGTCCCCCAGAGACAAAGAGCAAGCAAACCATTATCAGCAGTGATAGATCCGTTTTAAAACCAAACAAAAATAACACTTATATATTCTTATATGCAAATTAAAGATGAGGCTCCCCCTTGATGAGTGCGAGGCGTGTTAACAAGATCCTTTGGTAGGCGTCACCAAACTTATTTAGTCTTTCAACCATGATGGCATTTCCATGCGGGAACTTCCTCCCCCAGTCCATTGAATTGCCGCGCGGCCGGAAGTCCCTCGTCCAGCCCACGTTTTGGATTGCGCTCGGCTTGACCGCGTGGCCGAACAAGAGGCAGCCTGGCGCGTGTAACACAAGCTTGGGCGGCCCCCCCCCATCTCACCGCACCCCCAAAAACCAACTCCCAAAAGCACAAATCTCAAACGACAAGCATCAACCCCAGAATCGAATTCCAAGAAACCAAACCAGGAAATATTCTGACACTTCTTAGAGTTGGGTTCAGCGAGAAGCTTGCCAGGGTGATTGGTGAGTCCGATCTTGTCCGTCTTGAAAGCGTCAGCTCTAGAAGGTAAGGCAGGAAAGTGAGGTGATCAAAGAAGCCATTTACCATAACCCCCGGTGTACCCCCGTTTGAGGTGTTCAACTTGTCCGCGACTCAATGCCCCTTGCCACTTGGACGCTCCAATGGAGAGACTGGCCCTCCATCTACTGCAGGACATGAATGCTATTCACATCCAGCCGGCCAAAAATATGACAGTTCATTGAGCGCATACTTGAGAAGTGAAATATGGCCTGAAACTTGTCTCTTTCCCATGTTAACTGAAAACAAAGAACGATCATGTTGTGACAGGGGCCACCCCCAATCATTCACAGAAGGACAACATCGTCACACTTGGCCTGGAAGAATAGCAGCTCTGGGTTGTGCAGCCAAACGCCGGTTGAAGTGGCTTTCATATAAGTTTGTGTGGAGGATCAAGGAATGTCCTGCTTGGGCTTGGTGTTTTGGGGCCAGAGTGGTCAAGACCCTAACCAGCGAGGTTTGCTCTGATCCACTGAAGGCTTAGCAAAAATATGAGGGGCTCCTCCCAACCGTTTTCCCTAGCGCAAAGAAATTCAGATTGAAGCCCTTTGTCCGAGTTTGCTTTTGGTCTCGAGGACATACCTTTGACCGAATTTGTTTTTGGTCTTGCCGAGGACACCATACGCTTTGTCCAGACGCTCGACGCTTGACGCTGCCTGCAAGGCCCACCGATAAGTACAGCGCCGCTGCTGCAGAATAGGCGCCCTTAAGGCACCTGCAGTGCCAATCACCCGATTGGGCAGAGATACGTATTTATTGGGACCATCCGATGGACGTAGTTTGCATGGGCTTGTGTGCCCGCCAACCATTTTTTGAAGGTTACTGCTTCACATTCTGGAAAGGCATTGCTTTGAGCATGTGTGGTCGCGATATTGCGGGCAAGGGTGCTTCCTTGTCTATCCTCATGCTGTACCTGCCAAGAGGCAAATTTCTAACAATTGCCAACGCAGGCCCCCTAGAAAAGACACCCCCAAATGGGGCGTCCAAAAGAAGCCGACCAGATTGTTGGGGATCCCTCGAAACAACTCAGGCAAATGGCCTGAAGTGAAAGTGAAAGCCGCGGCACAGGGGATAATTCTGCGGCCGCTGCATGCGCCGCTGAATGTCTGGAAAGAAGGCGTGCCTTAGCACGTGCAAGTTGCACGCAGGACATGCGCCTCATCAACTCGCCATCAACAGCGCTTCTGCTCGATTCTGCCTTTCCTGAACATATTTGCTCAAATGGGAAAAGTCGCTCCGGCATGAAGAAGTTAAGCGTGAAAGTCCTGTACGAAGGTCTCGTTTCGGCTTTCTTTCAGTTTACACTCCTGCAGATTAGTGTCATGTGGAACGAACGTATAGGATCTAAACGTTCAAAATTGCCCTCGCCTTCTTTTGGAAAATAGCAAACGTTGGGCAGCACCTTTGCTTGGGAGGAATCTCGACACCGGCTGTTCATTTCAGTTCCCCTCTCAAAATGCAAGTAACCACACACACCAAGAGCCACAAAGTGGCCGTCCTCCAAAACCAACCCACTTGAGCTTTGATTCGCCCTGCACCCCATCCAAGCGCACCCAAAACCATTTCCTCCCGCCAAAGCTGCGCTGCGGGGCTGAAGACCAAAATCCCCGCCACAGAGAACAGGCCATGGCCGTCAAAGGCGCTGAGCTCTGACAAGGAGCCACGCCTTGAGCGAGTGAGCGAATGCCAACGTGCGAATTCAACGGCTCGCGACTCTCACTCTCTCTACGTCGGTTCCTAAGAGCAACCCAAAATGTCAAAGCAAACGTGTTTCAACACAGGCAACCTTTGGGAAGCCGGGGAAACTAACATCGGGCCGCGGGGCTCCAAGCACATGTTCAACCAACAACCACCGAAACGAGACTTGCGCGTGATTCTTGCCCTTTACCAATATGACCAGACCAGAAGGGAAAATAGACGGACCTCGGGCTGAATCATTTTTGTTTTTGCTCGTATTTCCCTCTTTGGGTGAATCGGCGACCCGTGTTAGGCGGATGGAGAGCAAAGGCCCGTTGCACAAATTTTAGCCTGCTACCTGGCTACCTGGCTTCCTGGGGGCACAAAGGCTATATCAGTCTCTAACCAACCTGGGAACCGCAAGGTTCGGGACATACCTGCCGTGGCTGACCGAGCTTTCTTGGACTTCTCGGCAACGTTTTTGATTTTCTCTGGAGGCAAGGGATCTTGGCTTGCAATGAAAACACCTCCATACAAGGTCTCTTCCAGAAAATCAAGGATCTCCCGCTATTTCTCCAACCTCACCCTATTCATCATTGTTTGCCTTCTACTTCAAAGTCCAACAAATAGAAACGAGTCCCGGCAAATTGCAGATTCTGAACACCTAAGCTTTCTTGATAGGCCCGGCCAGCAAATTTCCACGGGGAGACTATAGCTAAAACTTGGTACTCATACAGAGCAATTCAACAAGAGCACTCAATTGAGGGAAGGACTTGCCCCCAGCAGAAAATTCCAAATACTAAGCCGACACACAAACAATACAGTACGACAGCGCTAAGCAATGCTAAGCCAGTACTACACAGAGATTACAGCGCTATGCAATAATAAACCAAGACTAAGTCAATGCTAAGTAGTGCTCAGTCAAAGACTACTTGGCGGGACCTCTGACCCCTTCAGCGTTTTTGCGCCTTCTATTGGGGACCCTCAAATTGTTTTGAGGTGGGCAGTAGTTAATCAGTGACCCTCATGGTGGCGAACCTTGACTATTGCACATAGTATAAAAAACCGACTGCATTTACCACCAGAAACTAGTATGGACCCGAAACAGGGAGCCTGGTCAATGTGTTCCGGTGTGCATTTACGGGGGCGGCTGAAAATTTAACAGCTGGGGCAAACCTCCAGTTTTATTTGTTTCCATATATCTGGCCATTTGGGGCGCCAGTTTGTTGAGCACGACCGTTGTTAAACCATGGACCTAGACCTGGCGATCACGGCGAGCAGCTCTGGAAGAAGCAGCCCGGACAGGCAGACCATGGCCTGACGGGCTGGGATCAAAATACCGCTCCCGTGTTACGAGACCTCGCCGTGATTCGTGGGGATTCGTGGGGAAATTTGGCGAGCCGCAGAAAACCGTATCCTGAATGTGAGCAAACCCCTCATAGGATGTGTCCGATTGGAAACCCCTACAAATAAGTTCCTCTTCCGTTGGACAGGGTAGAAGTTTGATTGTCCCTGGAAAAGAAGCCACGCTCCTACCCCTGTGGCTTGAGGTTCGGAGCACCCCCGCTGCTCGCTGAGCGTACTGTATAACACAAACACGGCTGCGGGGCCGTTTAACAACACAGAACTTGCTGGCGATCAGTAGGGAATGACCTGGACCGGGTTTTGGGAATGGATTCCCTTAAAGGAACTATAGGGGATGCTTTGTAGGGGTCATTTCCTCATTCGCTGCTGAGAACCAGCTCAAAGGCGTGGAAAGCTTTACACACGGACTGTTGCTAGCTAAGGCAAGCGGCTAGGCACGCAATGTAGACCTCAGATCGACCAAGCAGGAATCCACGGCGAAGGGCACAGAATGCCCTGGGCATGCGCGACGTTTGCTTTGGACTTACATTTCTCTGACGCACTAGAACTGTGGTTCTCCTTCGGGTGTCCCTCTAAAACCACAAAGATGGAGCAACCTCCAAAAAACAAGACAGGCCCATGCGCATGCCTGGATTTATTCAACCGCCTTTGATTTTTCAGGACGGTCCAACCTTTGAAATTCATCTGCATGTGGGCATGCCGTTTTTCGGAGCTGGTGCCTTTTTGGGTTGTTCGGAGAGAAGCACGAGGGACACCATGCCACCAAATGCTTGGACACTATTGCCAATTTCCAGATCATTCTCCCAAGCGTCAACGCCGAGCGGCGCAAGTGGAGAAGCCGTGAAGCTTGGTGAGATTTCTGGGGATCGACAAGGCATAGGCAAACGCGACTGAGAGCAGTACGGCCCTTGGTTGGAGCGATCGAAAGATGTTTGGATGTGTAGCTATTGTTCGACACGTGGGAAATACTTTTGGCGCAACACCTTCCAACAAACAGAAATTCAGATGACTACGTTGACTGCCTCAAGATCGGCCCAGTATTTCCCAACGTGAGCATATCCTTCAATTGGCGACCCTTGTGGTCGACATCAATTGAATGAGGATTTGTGCCGTTCTGGGGCGTTTGTCGAGAACCCTGGCTTCAGTTTAAATTCATATCCAAACCTCCTCCCCTCCTCTAAAATTCCCGCTTCTGGTTCCCTGCAAACTCAAGGCCGTATGCGGATCATAGTTTGGGGAAACAGGATGAGGGGGTTGGATTCTAAGACAGTCTCAAGGGTCTCTCCTGTCCCACCGCAAATACCCAAGAAGCTCGTCACTAGAATGAGCGTGGGTCAAACAGGTATACCCCAAATGGAAGCCTAGTAAATGGAAACAAGGACTAAAACCTGAGGTAAAAACAGCCAATATTCCAAAAACAAACACAAATGCCCGGCTGCATCATCACAGCAAAGAGTCTGCAGGGATTCTAACGAACCGATAGCGCCACCCCCCATTCTGCAAAACCGGTTCCCCGGCAATGCTGTGTGTTGCTGACATGCATTTTTGAGACCGCAGGTCAGCCCTTGAGCTGCAAAACCTTGCTGCCGAACTGCCAGGTTTCCGAGTTTGGCTCGCCGATGCACTGACCTTGGCAAGATGTGGCTGTGCTGTTTTTCACAGTCGCAACAAGCTACCTGAAGCGCCTTCTCCCCAGGATACGCGGGGCCCGAGATATGAGTTCTGAGCAACTCCCTATGTATGTGATCGGCGCAAGTCTCTAGTGCTCTCTTGCTTCTTCTCTCTGGTCACTTGTCGCAAAGTCACTGCGGCTTAATTTTGCTTAGGCATGGAGACAGCCTTGCTCTCAAGGCAATTATCAGCAGGGGACCTCGTGTCTAGCTCTGATCACAACTTCTGCGCCAAGTTGAGGCGTCACGGGCTCCTTGGATCAATCGCTTGGCAAGTGCGCCTTTACACAGGCAGAATCAGCCATGCTCAAATTCTTGGGTCGGTCCAAGGCGAACGCGGGAAAGAGTCCCGGGCACCAAGTGCCGGCGAATGTCGACCACCCACAAAGCCTCTGTTAAAAAGTTACATCAACAGCATTGCGAACAGAAAGGAGAAGGGCAAGCCGCCATGGACCTCACACCCGGGCATCACGGCAGGAACACTAGGATCCTGGAAAGGCTGCCTGTGCACATGTTTCTTAAAATAACCCTAAAAGGTACGGTTGGAGCACGAATATTCCGGGAACTTCCCATGGTGTGTGGCCGAGTTATTTGCAAGACAGGTGTGGCTCAAAATAGGGCACCCCCCAAAATGGTTGGTTCCGTTTGGCTTTCTAAACCATTCCGGTATCCTCAATTTTCAGACAAACCCGTACTTGGCAACCGATTCCACTGGTCGAAACGCATTGAAACATCAATCAAGCCACCCCCAAAAAACTCTTCCTTAATCGGCAACCAACCGGTGATGTTCAACCCGTCGCCCAAAGGGAGACAGTTAAAGTTATAATATGTATATATATATATATATAATTTGCGGCTTTAGAGTTGTTCAAGACCTTCTTCATGCCTTCGTTGTCAACTGGCACTTTTAGCATAGCTTCTCTCTTCAAGCCCCCTACCCAATGCACCAGCAGGGTTTTTGCCAATTATTCTAAGCCGCGATTTGATGCTCTAGAATCAGTGTGCCATAATTGGCGCCAAAACAGAAATCTTGATTCTAGGGAAACCACAGGCCCTGCGAAGACCAGATGGTATGGAGAACACGAGGAGACCCATGCTTTTACAAGCTGGGACCGGGAATGCATTCCCTCGTCTTCTTTTGAATTCAGCATTGATGGCGCGTAGTGACTCGGAGCCAACTGAAAGAGAGGAAACGGGGAATTGCTGCCGAGGGACTGATGTTCATTGCAGCTCCCACAGTGTAACTCAGCAAGTATCCCCAGGTCTCCAGGAAGATGAACAAGTTCGTTGCCTCGCTTGAGCGAGCCGACAGTGCAAGGCCGGCAAGGTCTGTAAGAACAACATTTGGGTGTATTTTTGGACGGTCCCCCCTTTAGGAAGCGAAAGGGAAAACTACTGTTTTTGGAGGTGAACCCCAAAAAAGAAGCCCCCGTTTGCATGAGGTGTGGGTTGGGACCACACCTCATAAAGAGCTGTAATTATATACCGCCCGGGACCTAGAAACGGAAGCCCATGCCAAAACCAAACTGACGTTTGGCAATGGCCATGCCTTTCAACAAGCACGCTCCAGCTGGGGGGAATCTCGGTGTCATGCGGTAAGGGTAGGTCACAGGAGCATCTCCGGGACCTGTTTTTCCTCGGCAACCCAAAGCACGTTCTCAAACAAAGTCACACCCATAAGAACAAACCGCCAATTAGTGGGAAGCTGATTTTCTGCAGACTCGGCCACCCCATAGCTCCATTTCTCAGCAGCCGGGCTACGGTGCGAATCTTGGGGCCAAAGGCTGCCTCCATGACGAAACCTCAGCGGATCCATCTGCTTAGAAAGCTTCAGAAGCTACCGAGAAGCTACAGATCTTACAGACAAAAAAACACCACACCTTCCGACCACGTCCGAAAATGTGGGAAAACTGAGCTCTCCATTTTCTGATCTGCGAAAAGCAACCAAACCCTAAACATCTAAAAGCTGAAGGGGACGGCTGGGAACCGCCAAGAAATGGAAGCCAGAGTCGGATGCTTCAGAAACAGGCGACACATGACAAGACGAGGCACAATTTGCAATCACTATTGCAAATGTGATGACCGTCAAGACCCACCGAATACGCGAATGCCAGGTTTTACCAAATAAACGGAGTGGTTGAGAAGGCCTCTGTTGTCTCAGCTCACCTTCTGCCTGGCAATTGCAATTCTTGTTACTTCCTCTTGACAAAAAAAAAACAACAACGACCCAGTTGATGAACAAACACAACAATGAACAACTGCCCACGCAGAACACATTTTGCCGTCAGAAGGCATCCATATCAACTGCCTTGACCCACTGCACAAGTTAAAGATCTTGCAAGCATGTAGGTCTGTCTTTTTTGTGCGTGCACTTGCCGGGGTTGGTTCAAAAGAGGGACCAAAAGAAACCAACCATTTTGGGGGGCCCAACCTTGAAAAAGACGAGCCACCCATGTAGGGGATCATCTGCCATGCCAGTGCCGAATCCCTCGCCCCTTAAGGCAGGCACCCCAGCTGAACTTGGACTCGCCGCACAAAGCCCGGCCATCAAAAGGCGAGCTGCCGCTCATCCCTGGGAAGGTGCTGATCCGTGTCGTGGCATCTGGGCTAACGATATTTCCACAAACTGAGAAGGGACTGAAGCCTTGCGTCGCACGTTGCGCGGCCTGAAGTAATTCGTTGCGCGACCGTAAATTCTCCACTGAGAGCTGTGGGAGTCCCAGCACGGGCCAAAGGATCTAAATTGATCTAAAACGAAATCGACCCTTTCGGGATCAATCCCGAGAGTGGACCAACACTGAGACGCCACTTCAAAACCTGCTCTCGCTAAGTGAGGGGCACACATACCACCAGCAAATTGCACGGCAACTGCAACATAAAACAAATTACGCAAGTCGCAAGAACAATAGCAAGCGCGAATCGTAACTAGGGACTCTTTTGGCGGACATAGTTCAAACAGGGGGGTATATCCACCAAGCTTTGTTGGAGGTATTTCAACTTGAATCAAATCAACCATAGGATTTTGTCCAAATGGGTTGTCTCTCGAAACGAGGGAACCCAAACTGCCTGGCGTCCCTTTCAAACAGCAGACCCAAAGCACTAAGTCACTAAGGTCGTCCCGGATTTATCAACCTTGCGGATTGGGGCGAATAGACGGGATTAGGGGGGTGCTTCATCCAAAAGTGGAGGACTCCCTTAAATCAACGAGGGCTTTGTTGAACCTGGGTTCCGACTAGCCCGTGAAACACAGAGTCACACGCCCGGCGACAGGTACGAGAGCGCGAAAGGCCAGGCAGTTTGCACAGATTCTGTCACTTACGCTCCGCTGAACGCAGCACATACAACGTTGATCAACTTTTGGAACCTTAAAATTGACTCGAACTGGTCTTTGACCCCACTGCAACAAGAAACTCTTCTTGCCAGTTTCCCGAGGAAGTCGTTACTTCTCAAGCTACAAAGTGTGAGGTCTAAATAGAAAGCAACCCAGTTTTAATCCCCTTTGAAAATTAGGCATCCGCAAGGAACACCTGCCTTGGACCACTACGGTATAGTCTGAGCCAACAAGAAACAAGCATCACTTTGGTCCTTTGCTCTCCAAAGGTGTTAGTTCGGTCGCGCCGAAGAACCAACTCAATTCCTGAGTAGATTGGGCAAAAACGTCTAAACTTGTTGCTTACCACCAAAATGGTCTTCCCACCAAGTATGGGTGCACCTTTCTTTAGTGACCCCCTCCAAAATGGCTTCCCTGCAAACGCCCAAAACAGGGAACCCTAGCCGTGTCAAGTCCATGAAACTCGGGGAGTGAGACTTCTCCCAGCTTCCAGCCCTCGGTTTCTGGCCGATGCCTTCATCCCCCAGGGGCCGCAGGCCACCTGCCAGCGGACTGCGCTGCTGGAGCTCTTGGAAGGCCCAGACCAAAAGGTGCGCCGTGTACGCGGAGCAGCCCACCTCAGAGAACCCACACGCAAAAGGGGGGACGCAGGGATGCGAGCGAGCCGCTCCCTGTTGAAATTGAGGGATCGTAGTCGATTTTGGGATTCATCGGATTGACCTGTAGTATATTTTAGCGGGGGTTGACGGGGTTCAACATGCCAAATGGGATACACCGTAGGCACTTTTGGGATGCCATCTTCAGTGCGGCTTCCCACCAAAGGAAGAGAGGCGCTGAGCCGGGCCCAACAAATGGGCGGTTTCCCCTGGGTTCGCCTTCCAGGTGTGCTTCCTTGTTTTATGGTCTTCTCGTCTTCTCCGTTCTGCCTAGCCCAAGCTTTCTCTGCTGTCTTTGGCAGCTAATCAACGGCAGGGCAGGTATTCTCACGCTAAGTTGGTGCGACAATCGGCAACAACATCGTCCCGCAACGTCTTTCTCCAAGCACAATCAACCAGCCCTTTGAACACGTTAAGCCTTTGTTGGATGCTACTCTCCAAATTGATATGAACCCCAAACATGTTTGAGGGTTTGTTCAATTCCAGGAGAGCATCTTTGCTTCCATTCGGACACTTGAGACGCCCCCCGGAGCACCGTTGCTGCAGCGCCAAGCCGCAACCACCAGGATAAGGGGAGCTATGACAAGGCCGCCCCGCGAAATCGCGTAAGGCCTCGAGGCCGAGTTGAGAAACGTCGGCCGACGGTCAGCTTAATTCGGTTTACTAAATCACCTTTTACCTTGGTGTCCCTATTTAGAAGGGCCACACAGGTTGATTTTTCAGTTGTTTTCGAAAGGAAAAACGGGCTCACACAAGGGGCGCTGTTTGCGACGAAACCTTCTCCCCACCTGCGCGATGTCTTAGAACCAGTGAAATCTCGGAAATGGCATCCTGGAGAAACATTTGTGATAAGGCAGGAAGCGTGTTGCAAAGGCCGCCCATCCCTTGGGCCATAGCTGAAGCGTCCCAACACCTCATGCTTGAAAAGTCAAGACAAAGGCCAACCGCATCGCTGCTATCAACAAGAAAGGGCGAAGGAGAAAACATCTAGCAAATTACATTTCGGGTTCGCGATGCCATGAATGCCGCAAGGGTCCTTGCCACAAGGGTCCTTGCCACAAGGGTCCTTATATGTTTCCTGCTGAGCACCAGCAACACCTTCGTTTTTTGACGGATCTTTACTTGTTTTACTTGCTTGTTTGACAGGCAGGCAAGGAGAAATGGAATGACTACAAGAATCCCCAATGGTTTCCTTTAAGGCCCGCCCACTATGACATTGACAAGACAGAACTTGACAAATATTGCTTGAACCACGCAAAAGGGCCACATGAGGAACCCTGAGCCAAGTCACTCATACACTCTAATTGGCGCTAGGGGTTGCTCTGGCTCCCCTTGAAACGGAATTTCAACACGCTTCCCGCAAACTGGGCTGGGCGCTTTCCCTTTGATGTCCTTTAAACAAAGCGCCACACGACCCAAGTGCCGTCCCTTCTCCGCGCGGAGCGGGGGATCGCGGTCGGCCCGAGGTTCCGGCATGGACAGCACGCCCACGCCCACAATGCCCGAAAACGTGGCCACCGTGGCGTCCCAGGTGCTCAGACCCTCTGAGCCATGGCCACCTGGCAAATGGCCAGCAAAGCCATGTCCTACGTGTCATGATTTGTCGTATCATTCTGCTTACGCCACCAGCTTAAGCCACCTTACGCGTGTGGAGTTTTGGCTTACGCGACACATTTGGAGGTTTTGCTTACGACACCAGCTTACGCCACCTTACGCGCGTGGAGTTTTTCTTTCGCGCTGGTCGATCTGACATGACTCTTACTAAACATGTACATGGAGGTTTTGGACGCTGCTCAGGAGTCCTTGCCTCACTTCAAGACTTCTCAAGTGGATGGCCTCCAAAAAGTAACCAACCTTGGTGTTTACCAACTAAAATGGTCTGTTTGTTATTTTCCGTGGATGGTTGCGAAATCCACTTCGCACCACTTGAAAACCATGGGACTTTTCGAAACCACAAGTTTGGTTACAGGATCAAATAATTTCAGGGAATCTCGGGCGGCGTGAATTGGATTTCGCCACTGTATCCCCAGAAGTCCTTGCCATGGACCAAGAAGCATTACCCACTTCCCGCAGCTCTGTCTTTGACGTGCACCGCTCAAAGGAAGGCATGTGTCAATGAGGACATCAACTCTGCCATCGAATTGGTGGTTTGGTTGGAGGTTGGGGGGGGCTTCTCATTTACCCTCAACAAGACAAAGCAATCCACAACCACAACCAAGGGATTGCCTGATCATTCTTTGGTTTCGCGATCGGCTCAAGGCCCATTCTTTTGGAGTGGGTTCCCCTTTTTTGGATGACAATAAACAAACTGAAAGGACACCCTCCATTTTGGGACGGTCCAAATGCTGAAAAAAGGACCCATTTTTAAGGGTTCCCTGTTTGGTTGGTTTTAAGGCCACATTTTGGCGGTCACCGAAAAGGCCAAAACAAAGAAAACAAACACACACCCATTTCGCTCCACCGCGTTCGCGGCTCGCGCCTACGAAGGCCTTGGGCTCCTTCTCCCGGAGGCTCAACCCCAGCAGCGCCACCACGCTGAGCAGCGTCAGCGCCAGCGCCAGCCCCGGAAGAGCCGAGGAGTTCCTGGCACCCGAGACAAGCTGCGGGCTTCGCCGGGCTGTTAGATCCCCCGCGAAAAGTGACTAACTTTGAGTGGGTGAAATGGAAACCCAACCGCTAAAGAGCTACAAGCCGAAAAGCTGCCACCAAGTCAGGGCAGGGGCGGTTGGGAATGGCCTCGACCGATTTCGATTTTGTATTAGGAGATCTAACTGGAACCCCAGCAGAATGCCAATGCTTGGAAACACCAAAAGGCAAACCCTGACAGGAGCCTACTACCATGTCCGTACAGAACTCCTAGCTCCGAAGTTCGATCTTTGAAGGCAAAAGTTTGGACACCCGCAGCTCCTTGGCTCTGAATGAACGAAGGGAATGGGAAGAGAGGAACAAAAAAAAGAATCAGGCAATCTTTTCTTGTTCCCTCTGTCCTTTCTTTCCAGAGTCTCAGAGCTTCATCAATGTTGAAGAGGAAAGATGGGCCATTCCTTTCCTCACGTCACCCTCCTCGCCATTATTGTTAGGCGAGATCTAGAGAAGGTAGGAAGTGAAATCATAGCATCTTTTCATTCCTTTACCCGTCCTATCATCTTATTCTCTTATCTGGACGGGTTGATGGATCTCTTTTACCATTGAGTTCCCTCACCTATCTTCTACCTGTGAGAGATAGGACATGAAATGGACAAGAGAAAGAGAGTACGTAATGATAGAAGGGATAGGATGGTAAAGGTTGGAAAAGAGATAACATGAATCCCAACCCCATCCTCTATCCCTTCACTCACTCTTTTCCTCTCTTCTTCTTACCTGTCTTCCGTTGCTTTCAAGACTTTACGGTAAGAATGAGAGGAGCGAGTGAACGGGAAAGAGAAAGTGCGTGGGAAGGATGGAAAGGAAAGGTAGTTCATATCTGTCTCTCCCACCTCCCCGCCGTCGGTGATGATCCGAAGGAAAGGAAAGAGATAGACAAGCAGCAATGAAGGAAGAGGCTGCGTAGGCAGGAGATTGGCGGACTGGCAGCTCTCGCCACTCTCATTTCCTTCGTTCGCCTCTCCATTCCTCTTTCTCTCATCTCCATTCTGCACCAAAATGAACTGGAAGAGACAATGTGAGAAGGAGAGATAGAGAATGGGGAAGAGACAGGTAATGATGGGTGGAGAGAGGACATGCGTTTCGTTTCTCTTGGCATTTCCCACCCATCATCTGTCTCTCATTCCTTCCTTCCCACGCTTCTCCATTCGTTGTCAGGCGTGTGTTAGAGAAGGAAGGAATGATGAAGGGAAGATGTTGCTGGGAGAAAAAACAACACTTCATGCCCTCCTTTGCAAGAGTATTTTGCGAAGCTGGAAGGAACGAAGCTGTACCAACACCTACAGATTCAATCTGAGATGAAATATGAGGTGTCTGCACACGACTCCATTCCCTATCCCATCCCTTGCCTCACTTTTCCTTTCCTCGCTTCTCCCGCGGCAGGAATAACATCAGGAAATGAATGGAGAGACAAAGAAGCGAGAGAATGTGATGGAGAAGGAGGAGTGGCCCTTCCAACAACCAGCTAGCCTGGCGTGACATTGTTACCACTGGCAACGTGGGCAAGACATCCATGCGCCTGGCAGGTTTCAGCTCGCTCACCTTTGCTACGTAGTGGTGCGGGTTGAAATGGGCTGGGCCCTCCAACCTCAGTTCGCTTTGTGGGGTCAACTTGATCGCCAAAGAATACTGTTGATGGACGAAATCCAATTCGCACCACCCAAGAAATCCTGCAATGAGGATTCCCCTACAATTGAGTACTAACAAACAATGGTTTCCCATGGTTTCAAAGTGGTGCAGGACTTCTTTTATGCACAGCAAGGGCTCTGGAAGAAAGACACACGCATGATCCAGGCCCTTTGTGGCCTCCTGTTGGAAGTCACCGACATTTGCGCGCAACCCCAACTGTTCAGCTTTTTGCGTGTCCAAAGCCTGCCAACTGCATGCCCCATCAGCCGAAGTCATCCAGGGCTCTGACACCCAGGGAGCATCATGCCGTGTGAGGTGCACGAGCTGCACCTGGCGATTGGCAAATCAGTTGAGACAGGCACCCAAAGTGATTTTAAAGATATCTATGCCAAAGTGATTGAGAAAGTGCGGTATGCCTTGTTGCATTGTTGTGTGCACCGGACATCCTCGTTTTCTTGCCTAGACCTGGCGGCCGTGTCTGGGGCACCGTGGGTAAGGAATTGGGCATGTGAACGAAGGACACCTACCCTTACGCTTTGCAGGAGTTTGCCCTCTTGACTCTCTGCAGTAACGATGTCAAAGGACGATAGTCAAGCACCTCGTATGTCAAGATGCTTTGCTCTCTCTGTCGCTCAAACCAAACATATGTTTCAGCCATGTAAGGGGCGGTCCAGTTTTCAACTCGTTTCGGTCTTAGTTTTAGTAGTTGTTTACTTGTTTCCGTCCTAGTTCCCGGAATCAGCCCCAGATCGTTTCGGTCCTAGTTTTCTGCTCGTTTCGGTCCTGGTGTCTGCTCGTCCCCGAAACATGTTGGATTGGTTTGATTGGTTTGACTGGTCTGCTTTGGCAGGTTGCCTGATGAGGACCAAAAGCATGGGCGGGCTGAACAAGTCCAACACGCCCCCAAAAGCTGACTAGGACCAACATAAGCAACACAACTAGGACGAAAATGAGTGGGCTACCCCAGGAAAGGTCCCCAGCTTTTCCCTTGGACGTGACTTGGAAGGTGGCAAAAGCGCTCCGAACATTTTTCGAGCTAGGGCCCTAATCTCTCTCATCGAGAGTCTCGCCTTTGACTTCGCAATAGACCGCTTGGTCTGCACCAAGCTACCGGCCAAGCACTCCTGAGCTACCACCTCGGAAAAGACGCAGGCCGGGCGTAAATTTTAGCGCACCCGTGACACCATTTGAGGTGGTTGAAGCAGCCAGCCCTGCAGGCTTGAGGTGACAGGGATGCATGCCCTCTGTTCAAAATCATTGGCAGGGCTGAGCCCCCAAGATCACTCTTGCGCACAACTTAGCTGAGGAATTGCCACACGAGCCAACAACTGCATGCGATGTCCACGTACCATACGAAGCTGCTGCACCGAGTGCGATATGTAAATAAGTTTTTGCGTCACACACACACACACACTTGCCTGCTTTTGCAGCATGACCGTATGACGTCGTGACGAATCCCCAGGCACACCAATGCAAAATCTGGGCTAAGAATCTCGGACAGCAGCCTTCGAGATACGACGTTTGTCTAAAGCTCACGTCAATGCCACTCCACGAAAATGCCTACGCTTTCCCCAAACGTCCCACATTGCTCCCTTCACCCTTGCAAAAGAGCCTGTGGCTCTGAGGTTGCTCAGTGACAGCAACTTCGGTTTGTTTTGAGCTCACTTTCTCTTGCTCCTCTCGTAGCAAGCCAAGATTAAAATCCGCCGACAACAGGCGGCGTGTTGGACATAAGAAATGCTCCTTACCTCTTTACCTGTTACCCCTCCCCTTACACCTCCCCAGGGGCACGGTTTCAGACTATTGGGGGGGGGGGGGAAGGCCTGCGGGGGAAAGGGGGGAAAGGATCTCAACAGGGAAAGGGGGGAAAGACCTTCGGGAGGAAAAGGGAGAAGATCTCAGGGGGGGAAAGGCCTTAGGGGGAAAGGGGGAAAGGATCTCAACAAGGGGAGCAAAGATCTCAGAGGGGAAGGGCGGCAAGGGGACAATTCCAAAGGGACGCAAATAAGAAAGCAGGCCTGAGCCGGAGGCGTTAAAATAAGGGGGACATGGTGTTCTTGTCGTAGCTCTTGGCTCCAAGTGATCCCCTGCAACTCTTACAACTTGTGTCTCCTAAAACCCTCCGCCTCCAGTGGCCTCGGGGCAAAACAACACCTTTGGTTGACTTCCAAAGGACACCCCTCCAAAAGAAAGTAACAAGGGGATTTAATTGAATTATGGGATCACCAAACGCATGCCGAGGTGCAGGAACGCAAAGCAAGATGGCCCATCTGAACATCGCAGGCCTACTTTTGCCGACCTTGTTGGACTCTGACAACCTATGTCTGTCAATGTGTTGATGGCGTAAGTGGCAAGCAACTCGTCGCAGGCTTCCCTCCTAACTACATGCTCATCAACCCAAGTGTCCAAGTGTCCACACACGACACTCATGCACTCACTGCACTCACGCACGGGGCATGAGACAGCCCCCCACCCTCGTGGCAATGCCAGGGGGAAAGTGTAAGGTTTTGAGCCTGCCGTCGAAGAATTGGCATGGATCTCATGTGAGCCGTCAAAATTCCTTGTAGCCCATATGGTCATGGTTCCCTTAGGAATCATTGTGACGGTCTCACTAGGGATCCTTACCAGGTGGATGAGGCCTGATAGCCTCAAGTGAAGGATTGACCAGGGCCGCTTTTCAGTTGCTATCAGCGACGTAGACCATGAGCTGGAAGCCTTTCTGGTCGGTTGACTGCTGTTGGGAACCCACCAAACACAAAAAAACTCGAGAGTGCCACTGAACAACCTTGGGCGGGCATCATTTACATTGCAGGTTTGTGACATGAAGTCAAAGGCGTGCAAATTGAAGCAACGTTGGCTTCTTTAAGCAGCTTTGCGCCTCTGCGCCATGCTGACCAGTCTCTCTAGCACCGATCATTGTGCTAACTCTCGGCCCGTGTCTTAAAATGGAGAAACCGGCTGTATCCTGGTGGAGAAGCTGCTGCCCAAAATGCCGGCGAAGCATTGTCACGAGCGAAGACACTTTCTTTGCCACCCGATCAAGACGACCACTTTGGGAAAACACTAGGCTGCATAGGTCTTCTTTTGGCAAAATAGATGACACTGGCAAGTGAACATCGAACCAACCTGCAACCAGTGGAACCAATCTATTTCCAACTAAACTGACCGATCACAAGCCACCTAGTTCAGGGTAGGCATTTCTTCCCGAAAACAAAGTCGGCCTTTCCAGGTGATCCTCGAACCCAAAAAAGGAGGTCCTAGGGCCTCACAAGGCCTTGGTCTTTTTGAGGAAACCAGAAACGGACGAAAACAGACGGGGGTGGGGTCGGATCCTATGAAAGTATTTGAGCGAAAAGAGCAGAGCAACACATCTATGATTCGGCATTGCCAAGAAACAAGCCCACCTGGTTTGTCATGTGTGAGGTGACAAAGGCACATGTTGACACCACACAAATAACGACTAAGTGTAAGGCAAGTCCTTACCTAGAGCCTGTAGTTCACAAAACTGAAATACGGAATCTCCAGGTGAGCTGCTTGTAATTTGTGCAGTGAAGATGCATAGTATTCAGTAGGCACATTTCTCTTTTGCACACGCGCAGGACAGAAGGAGCTGCTCGCGCTGGTTGCCAGCGCTCCTCTTTCCCTGCCCACATGTCTTTGTGCCGCTCAGGGCCTCACTTGTGGCAGGCCTGGACAGCGAAAGCAGCAAGAGCAGCACTGGGAAACCTCAGACATTTGTTTCAACACGCAACATGCTCTCCAGGTGGTCCACTACCCCAAACCGCTACCCCCCGAGGGAAATGCGGGTGTATGATTACCCTTTACATAGAGGTGATACAGTGGTTCTATACCCCATGTTTTCCTTGAAGGTAGTGCATTGGGCGTAGTGGGCACCATCTTGGAGTTGCAAGCCAGGAAACCGGCTACGACCTACGAAGTAGAGTGGCGCTTTGTGAGCCCTCGGAGCTGTGCAGTCTCCAGAAGAGTGGACCAAGGGACAGACCCACCAAGTACCTGCCGTGCACTACCACAGCGTGTGGGTTCACCAATGTCGTCGACAACCGAGCGGGCTCTGGCTTGGACGTATCAACACGCGCTGCTAAGCTCACATCCTTCACAGCACGCAGCTTTGGCTGACTCAAACCACCCCGCTGGACCAACAACCATTAGTGGGCTGCCTTTTTGGGCTCGCCTTTTTTTCGGGGACCCGAAATCGGTGGGTTGCTTTCCTGTTGGTTCCCATTAAGCCAACCCCCCAACAGGGTACTCCTCAAACCAGGACAGCCCCCTTTGTAGACTGTCCACTTCCCAACCCTTGGTAGTGTCGCAAAACACACTCCAAATGAACAGAACCAAAAAACCGAAAAAAAAGAAGAAAAAAAGAAAAACAACTACTAACCTTTCAAAGGTCCACGGAACTTTCACCTTTCCTCCAACCTCCCGCACCTGGTGTGACCAGGAAGTCTCCACAAAAGGCCAAAACCTGAGCTGGCTGTCTGTACTGGCTTAGACGAAGCTTATGCCATCCAGTTGCCAGAGAAACCCATCCTCGTCTCAGGTTATTTGCAGCTTCCTCAACAAACCCATGTATTCTTCATCGACAGGTCACCCATGCCTCTTTTGTGCTCCTTGTGCGTAAGTCAAATGCGGGGCTAGTTGGGTTAACCATAACGTCGATGGAATTTACAGGGAGAATCGAATCGCTCCAAGGACTCTTAGGTGGTGCGAATTGGATTTCGTCCATCAGTAGGTGTTCTTTTGAAAGGAACAAATAGCCTGGATGGAAGAAAACCAATTTCTAAACCAGTGGAACCCATCTATGTCTAAGCAAACTAACATGAAAAGGACACCTATGCCAGGGCAGTCTTGCAGTGAGGTTGGGTCTTTGAACCCTGACTTTCCGGATTCAAGGCGCAAGCGCCTTTCTCTCAGCCAAAAAAGGTGTCCGTAGTGGCGATCCTCTTGACTCCTGGACTCCTGGTCTCCATGCTCGGCATAAAGCATGGCGCGGCGACAGCCCAACCCCGCAGCTCAGTCATGGATTTGTTTGTCCAGTTCAATGCCACTTGCCACTGCAAGATAATCAAACGGCAGCAAAGTCAACTCCAAAAGCACCTCTATACGTGCAACCTGCTGAAGAACACAAAGGGCTCAAACAAGCTTAACAAACTGCAACAACACACGCACATACAAAGCATAGTACTCAGCACAAACAGCTGGCTGTGCATGGACTTGTCATCTGCCCATCGACCTTCTGGTGACTCTGTCTTCAGCAGCACGATGATGGGAATCTGAAACTGACTCTTGGCCGCAAAAAGCAACACAAAGACTTAGGCTTTACCATGAGTAAGACGTGGCCTCGTGACTGTGTGACGGTCTGAAGCCGTGCCAGCATACACAAGGGGCTGTGCATCGATTTGTCTTCCGCCAATCGGCCCTCTGGCGACTCTGTCTTCAGAAACAGGCTGATGGGAACCTGCAACTGCTTCTTGGTCGCAAAAAGCCACACAAAGACTAGGCTTCGCCATGGTGGGCTTAAGTATGTACATGCTGGCCAAGTGGCCACTTCACTGTCTGACGGTCTGGAGCCATGCCAGCATACACAAGGGGCTGTGCATGGATTTGTCTTCCGCCAATCGACCCTTTGGCGACTCTGTCTTCAGAAACAGGCTGATGGGAACCTGCAACTGCTTCTTGGTCGCAAAAAGCCACACAAAGACTACGCTTCACCATGGTGGGCTCAAGTGTGTACATGCTGGCCAAGTGGCCTCTTCACTGTCTGACGGTTCGGAGCCATGCCAGCATACACAAGGGGCTGTGCATGGATTTGTCTTCCGCCAATCGGCCCTCTGGCGACTCTGTCTTCAGAAACAGGCTGATGGGAACCTGCAACTGCTTCTTGGCCGCAAACAGCCACGCAAAGACTGCGTAGGCTTCACCAGACTAGGCTTCGCCATGGTGGGCTTAAGTATGTACATGCTGGCCAAGTGGCCTCTTGACTGTCTGACGGTCTGGAGCCATGCCAGCATACACAAGGGGCTGTGCATGGATTTGTCTTCCGCCAATCGGCCCTCTGGCGACTCTGTCTTCAGAAACAGGCTGATGGGAACCTGCAACTGCTTCTTGGTCGCAAAAAGCCACACAAAGACTACGCTTCACCATGGTGGGCTTAAGTGTGTACATGCTGGCCCAGTGGCCACTTCACTGTCTGACGGTCTGGAGCCATGCCAGCATACACAAGGAGCTGTGCATGGATTTGTCTTCCGCCAATCGACCCTTTGGCGACTCTGTCTTCAGAAACAGGCTGATGGGAACCTGCAACTGCTTCTTGGTCGCAAAAAGTCACACAAAGACTAGGCTTCACCATGGTGAGTTCAAGTGTGTACATGCCAGCCAAGTGGACTCTTGACTGTCTGACGGTCTGGAGCCATGCCAGCATACATAAGGGGCTGTGCATGGATTTGTCTTCCGCCAATCGACCCTTTGGCGACTCTGTCTTCAGAAACAGGCTGATGGGAACCTGCAACTGCTTCTTGGTCGCAAAAAGCCACACAAAGACTACGCTTCACCATGGTGGGCTTAAGTGTGTACATGCTGGCCCAGTGGCCACTTCACTGTCTGACGGTCTGGAGCCATGCCAGCATACACAAGGAGCTGTGCATGGATTTGTCTTCCGCCAATCGACCCTTTGGCGACTCTGTCTTCAGAAACAGGCTGATGGGAACCTGCAACTGCTTCTTGGTCGCAAAAAGTCACACAAAGACTAGGCTTCACCATGGTGAGTTCAAGTGTGTACATGCCAGCCAAGTGGACTCTTGACTGTCTGACGGTCTGGAGCCATGCCAGCATACACAAGGGGCTGTGCATGGATTTGTCTTCCGCCAATCGGCCCTCTGGCGACTCTGTCTTCAGAAACAGGCTGATGGGAACCTGCAACTGCTTCTTGGCCGCAAACAGCCACGCAAAGACTGCGTAGGCTTCACCAGACTAGGCTTCGCCATGGTGGGCTTAAGTATGTACATGCTGGCCAAGTGGCCTCTTCACTGTCTGACGGTCTGGAGCCATGCCAGCATACACAAGGGGCTGTGCATGGATTTGTCTTCCGCCAATCGGCATTCTGGCGACTCTGTCTTCAGAAACAGGCTGATGGGAACCTGCAACTGCTTCTTGGTCGCAAAAAGCCACACAAAGACTAGGCTTCACCATGGTGGGCTTAAGTGTGTACATGCTGGCCCAGTGGCCACTTCACTGTCTGACGGTCTGGAGCCATGCCAGCATACACAAGGAGCTGTGCATGGATTTGTCTTCCGCCAATCGACCCTTTGGCGACTCTGTCTTCAGAAACAGGCTGATGGGAACCTGCAACTGCTTCTTGGTCGCAAAAAGCCACACAAAGACTAGGCTTCACCATGGTGGGCTCAAGTGTGTACATGCTGGCCAAGTGGCCTCTTCACTGTCTGACGGTTCGGAGCCATGCCAGCATACACAAGGAGCTGTGCATGGATTTGTCTTCCGCCAATCGGCCCTCTGGCGACTCTGTCTTCAGAAACAGGCTGATGGGAACCTGCAACTGCTTCTTGGCCGCAAAAAGTCACACAAAGACTAGGCTTCAGCATGGTGGGCTCAAGTGTGTACATGCTGGCCAAGTGGCCTCTTCACTGTCTAACGGTTCGGAGCCATGCCAGCATACACAAGGAGCTGTGCATGGATTTGTCTTCCGCCAATCGACCCTCTGGCGACTCTGTCTTCAGAAACAGGCTGATGGGAACCTGCAACTGCTTCTTGGTCGCAAAAAGTCACACAAAGACTAGGCATCACCATGGTGGGCTCAAGTGTGTACATGCCAGCCAAGTGGACTCTTGACTGTCTGACGGTCTGGAGCCATGCCAGCATACACAAGGGGCTGTGCATGGATTTGTCTTCCGCCAATCGGCCCTCTGGCGACTCTGTCTTCAGAAACAGGCTGATGGGAACCTGCAACTGCTTCTTGGCCGCAAACAGCCACGCAAAGACTGCGTAGGCTTACCAGACTAGGCTTCGCCATGGTGGGCTCAAGTATGCACATGCTGGCCAAGTGGCCTCCTGACTGTCTGACGGTTTGGAGCCATGCCAGCGTACACAAGGAGCTGTGCATAGATTTGTCTTCCGCCAATCGGCCCTCTGGCGACTCTGTCTTCAGAAACAGGCTGATGGGAACCTGCAACTGCTTCTTGGCCGCAACCAGCCGCACAAGGACTAGGCTTCACGAGGGTAAGTTCAAGTGTGTACATGCCAGCCAAGTGGACTCCTGACTGTCTGACGGTCTGGAGCCATGCCAGCATACACAAGGGGCTGTGCATGGATTTGTCTTCCGCCAATTGGCCCTCTGGCGACTCTGTCTTCAGAAACAGGCTGATGGGAACCTGCAACTGCTTCTTGGCCGCAAACAGCCACGCAAAGACTAGGCTGCCTTTGGCTGGTGGGATCAAGTGTGTACATGCTGGCCAAGTGGCCTCTTGACTGTCTGACGGTCTGGAGCCATGCCAGCATACACAAGGGGCTGTGCATGGATTTGTCTTCCGCGAATCGGCCCTCTGGCGACTCTGTCTTCAGAAACAGGCTGATGTGAACCTGCAACTGCTTCTTGGTCGCAAAAAGCCGCTCAAAGACTATTTCAGTGCGTGGTCTGGAGCCATGCCGGCATACACAAGTTACACAAGGGGCTGTGCATGGATTTGTCTTCCGCCAATCGGCCTTCTGGCGACTCTGTCTTCAGAAACAGGCTGATGGGAACCTGCAACTGCTTCTTGGTCGCAAAAAGTCACACAAAGACTAGGCTTCACGATGGTGAGTTCAAGTGTGTACATGCAGGCCAAGTGGCCTCTTGACTGTCTGACGGTCTGGAGCCATGCCAGCATACACAAGGGGCTGTGCATGGATTTGTCTTCCGCCAATCGGCCCTCTGGCGACGCTGTCTTCAGAAACAGGCTGATGGGAACCTGCAACTGCTTCTTGGTCGCAAAAAGCCACGAAAAGACTAGGCCTCTCCATGGTGAGTTCAAGTGTGTGGTCTGGAGCCATGCCAGCATACACAAGTTACACAAGGGGCTGTGCATGGATTTGTCTTCCGCCAATCGGCATTCTGGCGACTCTGTCTTCAGAAACAGGCTGATGGGAACCTGCAACTGCTTCTTGGTCGCAAAAAGCCACACAAAGACTAGGCTTCACCATGGTGAGTTCAAGTGTGTGCATGCCAGCCGAGTGACCTCTTGACTGTCTGACGGTCTGGAGCCATGCCAGCATACACAAGGGGCTGTGCATGGATTTGTCTTCCGCCAATCGGCCCTCTGGCGACTCTGTCTTCAGAAACAGCTGATGGGAACCTGCAACTGCTTCTTGGTCGCAAAAAGCCACACAAAGACTAGGCTTCACCATGGTGAGTTCAAGTGTGTGCATGCCAGCCGAGGGACCTCTTGACTGTCTGACGGTCTGGAGCCATGCCAGCATACACAAGGGGCTGTGCATGGATTTGTCTTCCGCCAATCGGCCCTCTGGCGACTCTGTCTTCAGAAACAGGCTGATGGGAACCTGCAACTGCTTCTTGGCCGCACACAGCCACGCAAAGACTGCGTAGGCTTCACCAGACTAGGCCTCACAAGTGTGTACATGCCGGCCAAGTGGCCTCTTGACTGTCTGACGGTCTGGAGCCATGCCAGCATACACAAGGGGCTGTGCATGGATTTGTCTTCCGCCAATCGGCCCTCTGGCGACTCTGTCTTCAGAAACAGGCTGATGGGAACCTGCAACTGCTTCTTGGTCGCAAAAAGCCACAAAGACTAGGGGCCATGGCAAACTCGATTCACAAGCGGGCCACGTTCGTTCTGACTGTCAAACGTGGAACAGTGTAAGCAACTTTTGGCCACCTTGCCAGTCCTGCATAATCCAATCCTGGACTGGATGGACAAACTTGTGCACCAGTGGGGATTGGTGGTTTATGCCATTTACAAGGTCTCTTTCCTCGTGGACTTTGTCCACCGTGAAGAATCAAATCTGCACATCTTACAATTACGTGCACAACCTGAAATAAGGGACCCCCAAGTACAGGAAGTTTACCCTGGCATTCGCTCGTTTTACCCCCGAATCGCCGAGCCATGAACGCAGACCAGTTGGGTTTGGTGGTTGCCATTGTTTGCGTACGATTTATAGAAGTCGCTCTCGCTCGCGCCAAGCCCCTCGCCGGCTTTTCTGAGCGCCCGGCCCAGGCGAAGGAGAAGAACCGGAGGAAGCAGCGGCCGAAGAAATCAAAGGACTCCGGCTCCGAGAGATACAGGAACCAAGCCTCACGTTCGCTCGGCCTTGCTTCTTTGGCCCGTCCACTAACAAAAACACATGTGTTTGCTGCATGGAAAGGGAAGATTATTGTTGTTTACTGTATGGAAAGGGACCATGAAAAAATGGTCCGTATACGAAGTCATTTACCAGTGTGTTGTGTATGGATGGCCTGGATAAGTTTGGCCCCCGTCCACTAACATACAAAGGATGCCATCTAAATATGGCAGAGGAAACAAGCAAACGATATGGAAACAAGCCTCACAAGCCTCGCAAATTCTTTCGTTTGGCCTTGCTTCACTTAGTCATGTCATCTAAAATGTTGCAAAGGAAACAAGGACAATGGAAGCATTTGTTTTTACCGTATACAAAGTAATTTGCCATGGTTTTGGGGTGTATGGGCGGTTTGGATACGTTTGGCCCGCCTTCCACTAACATACCGTGGATGGACGAAATCCGTTCGCACCACTTTGAAACCATGGTTGAAACCATAACGCTTGTTGGTATTTACGTTGGGAATGGAATTATTCCTGGGATTTCTTAGGTGGTGCGAAATGGACTTCATCCATCCAAAGTGGAGTCGATGCCCTGAATATTGCAATTAAAAAACCAAGGAACCCATCTAAACCATCTAATGTCCCGAGATTTGCCGCAGTTTACCGTATGGTTTGGATGGCTTGGATTGGTGAAGGGCGATCTGAGATGTTATCAAAGTCAACCTCCTTTCCACCAACCCCTGGCGGGTCCGAAGATCTGGCAAACATTCCGCCGATCAGTTGCAGTACCGTTTCAAGGCGCCTGACTGCAGGGGTGGGACGTTGTGCGGTAGTTCTCACGCATGAAGGTTTGATCTGCAAGTTGGGATGTGTGCCGCGGGCCAACGAGCATCCATCCACCACATCTCTGTGCACGTCACCTGCTATGGGTACAAGTAAATGTACGTGTGTTGATGTGAAATCTATCTGCTGATGGTGCATGCCTTCAATGTTTAACAAGGAAGCTACGTGCCCGGCATCAATCAGGGGCACAAGCCTATCAACCGTCCAGGTTAAACCCGAGTCTACTTCAGTTCAGCTTCAGCGTTCACACGAAGAGGACATGCTTAGATTCCAGCCCATGTTTATTGAGCCTCAACATGGCCGAAGGAGTGAGTTGAGAGGTCTCAGAAGTGAGGTGTTTTCGACCATGGCTCACTGGAGAACGACACCATCTGGGTGAATTATACGTGGCTTCAGCAAGGTGAGGTTTGCCAATTCTTGTGAAGTCGCTGATTGAAACACCAGCTTCACCTGGCTGTCCCAAAAAAGGCCCTCTCTTCCTTAGGATGCCCCTGTTGCCGGCAAAAACAAGTCCAAGCTTTCTGTTTAACACCAAAATGGTCCCAGCCCAAAAAGTGACTAAAGACTCAGGGAGCGAGTTTAGGCGGGCCATGCTTTTTGCAAGCTGTCATAGTCAGTTGAGAGAAGGGACTGCACCTTCCTGAGGCACCCCGGCCGCCGCAAGACCCAGGATGAAGCTGGAGTGGAAGGCCACATCCTCAAGCGAGTCACAATCAAAACCTGGTAATACAATGGTCTACGCAGAACCATGTAAAGAACTGAAAAGGCGGCAGCGTCCATTTATGCTACCCTACAATTGCCCGGGTTTCAATTGTGACTCAAGTGATCTTGCAATAGTCGGCATTTTTGGCACTCAGATACGTCAGCCTGGGAAGAGGAGCGAGATCGGAGGTCGATGTACCAAGCGAGTATTCTTGCTGGCTTTGCCAAAGAAACAAATGGGTCGCCATGTGCAAAAACTATTCCAGTTAAAAACTCGGTGATTTGAATCGACGCAGTCCTGGTTTCCTCAGAAAGGGTTGTTACACGAGTGATGAATGTGGAGGGCAATGCTTTGCTTTAGATGACTCCGAGTCCATTGCGTTAATTGACTGGTTATAGCGGTTCTGTGTGAGCAATCGGTATTAGTATTAGTGTTTTCTTTTCTTGTTTTTGCTTTTATCTGGATGATTTGTCTGACTTGGACACAGTCTGCCTGTCAGCTTTCATCAATTCCATATCAGTGAAATGCGTTTTGATACACCTCGGTCTCCTATGCAGCAACCAACAGCAACAACCACGCAATCAATCTAACTCCGGAGCAACAAAATGCTAGTTGGCCGGAAACGTTCATTTTCTATCGAATAGCTAAAGGATACAGGCAATACTAAAGAGCAAACTTGTGTTCAAGCTACGGAACGTTGGCCATGCAGGCCGTGAGCTGTGCGTGTATTCAAAACGAAGCTAGCGTGGGTGTTCCCTGTAAACAACCGGCAGGGGGGGGGGGGGGAACAGTGAATTGGCCTTGGACTACTGTTTTTTTGTTGTCAAAACTCATAGGACAAATGTCTCGGCGAAGCTGAGTCTCTGATTACTGGCGGAGCTGCGGTTTGGAGTCATTTTGGGTTCCCAACGCAACGAAAGAAGACAGCACAGCTTTGTCTCAGCTGCATCTCTTGGATTTGGACAATCTGAACCCCTTGCCATAACAAGGAACATTCTCCCCAAAGTTCAATGTGTCCAACTTCCAGAGATGCAGCAAAGTTCTTATGATCAAGACCAAAGTTGTCCAACCAGTGTCCATAGCTGATGTCACGGGTCCGTGCTTCAAAGTTCTTGCTGCTCCGTAGGGAATGTGGGAATGTACCCAGATATTCCCTCCAAAGGAAACCACAAGGGATGGTTAATACGGGGTCATTCCATTTCTCATTCCCTGCATCTCTCGCACGAGCAAGTATTGGTATGCAGCATTTTTCCAGCGAGTGAACTTCCTTCGTTGGCTCGTCTTCTATTGACAAAGGCACTCGCGTTCGCGTCGGGACATGTTCGGTCGCGCAGCCTAAGCCGCTCAAAGAGCAGGCCAAGGCAATGAATTTGAGACCCAATCGTAGACCTCCAATGGCTAAACTAGGCCACGGCGCTTGCCACTTCTCGGGCGGGAAGGGGTTGCCAATGCCCGCCAGCCTGAGACCAGCTACGATCCAAGAAGCCGGCAAGAACTTTCTCAAACGGGCAAAGGGCGACGGGCATGAGGGCAATTTATCCGCTTTCCTTCGTGTAGAAATTTCCTTCCAGTAGAATTTCCTCACCCAACCTTCAAGACACTTCTGAAACGCTTCTTGGGCGACTGCTTGTCTCGCTTGCCAGGTGATCCCCTTTTGAACCAAATTCGGACCAAGGAAACCAAAAGGTCAGTTCAGCTCGATTTGTTTTGGGCATGCGAGATTCTACAGGAAGCAAGCGCAACTCGGATTTGGGTTGTGGGTTGCCATGGGCCTTTCAGGCATGTAGATGTTCAAACTACCCTGGACCGAGGTGCTCTTCTGGATCCTAGACAAACGTGGCATGCCCTTGGCCCTTGGCAAACAAATCCCACTTCGGGGCCACGTTTTTCTCGACCAGGCCTTCCAAGGGCGGTACCAAATATGTCTCGCTATGTCCCAATGTCTGCGTGAAAGTCAGTTGAGTGGAACAAAGGCACAAACTTCTTAAAGCTTGCACCTTGAGCTTCACATTGCAACACAAACTACAATTTCAAGCAAGAAACATTGCACGGAAAACCTGAACGGGTGATTTGGATGGGCTCGGGATTCGAGTTTTTGGTTCTTATTTAGGGCAAATGGGAAACGACCCCGTTTCACCTCCAAACAATCAATTGGAAGGAAGCTGAAACGTGGAAACCGACCAATTCGCCAAATGGGCGTCCTTTTGTTGAGGCGATCCATTTTTGGATGTTTAAACAGCAAGGCAGCCAAAAGGACAACAGAAGGAAGTCATTTTTTGGGGGGCCCTCATTTTTTTTTAAAACCAGTAGGGTACCGCTGACGCGTTTTGTGGCAGTAGAAGCTCCTCCTCAGCATCCCGTGCATCACCCGGACACAGGCCAGCCCAAACATCTGCATCCCAAAACATCCCCCACATCCCTGGCCTTGCGACGGGCTCCTGATGCCACGTTGCCCAACCTTCACAACACACTGTAAATACCGTGCAAATCGTCCCCGACTGTCCCCGCCAACATCCTCTACATCCTCGCCAACTTCACCAGCATCCCCAGCATTCCTGCATCACCAGCAATAGAGCTTTTCAACATCCCTTGCATTGCTTTGCATCCCCTGCATCGCGCCAGCCCTCAAAAAATGGCCCCTTGAGGGTAGGTTTTGGCGGTAGGCAAACTTAGCGGGCATGTTTTCAGCGAAAGCGGGGCCGCAAACATCGCAAACATCCTGTTTTCTTTCATCTTTCCACCGGCTTCAGTGGGGCTGAGAGGGGATGCCGGGGATGCAGTCTTTGTCTGCTTGGCTTTGGGCGTGCGCCTCGTGCGGTGCGCGCCGCATGAAAAGCACGCACGCAAGCATGCACGCACCCACGCACGCACGCACCGACGAAAGCGCGCACCCACACGCGCGACCGCGCATGCGCGCACGCGCACAGGCGCACGTGCACGCGCGCGCACACGCGCGCGCAGGCGCAGGTGGGAAGGATGGGAAGGGTGGGAAGGATGGGTGGGTGCTTGCTGAGCGCAGCTGGTGATGGCGAAGCTCTAGGATAACATCAAATAAGGGCCCCTCCCCCCCGGGAAACCGAAGGAAGGGGGCTCCAGCCTCAAAAAGCGACACCCCGCCCCAAAACAAAGCGGGGGCTTCCCCCCCCCCTCCACACGGTGTCGCCTGGCCCAAGCGACCATCAGGGAGTCCGGCTCAGCATCATCCTGCGAGCGAGGCGTGGGCGGGGGTGCGGCGGTGTGATAGAGACTGGGACCGCTTGTCCATGTGAAAGCTTTCTAAGTCCCAATTCTTGGCTGACCTTGGGTTTGGGTTTGGAGCTTGCGTTCTACCTCCCAGTTCTTTTCACTTTCTTAGATTCCTCGGATCCCCTGCTAAAAGTGTTATAACTTTTCGTGGGTTGAATGGAAATCCCAACCACTAAACCCGACAAACAAGCCAATTTAAGGAACCGGACGTCTGGGAGCCGCCAAGGATTGAGGGTGTTCCCTATGCTCATCGTCGGCGTCTCCCCATCCGACCGCTGAGCTGCCGGCACTTTCCACGGGCGGCGGTTGGTGCATGTAGCACTGAAGGCAGGCACCGCTAGGCCTCGGAGCTGTCGGATTCTCTTCTTTGACACGGATTTGTTGTCTTTTTTTTAGAGGGACCCCGACCCCCCCCCCCAACCAAAAAGCAAGAAGAGAAGCAGCTTTTCAACTTCGGTTTCCCTTACCAACCACAAAGCCGCTACTGCAAAATCATCAAGAGCTCGCCGGGCTTCAAAGGCTCCGACTTTTGGGACCTAAACCACTTACCTGTGAGCTGATGCTGATGCTCTCAGGGCTCAATCGCATGAAGCGCGTGCTCCACTGTGCGTTCATCCAAAGCGGCTGCAAGTTCGGTGGCCCGCAAGCGCGTTGCTTTGCTTCCCAAGAAATGCAGCTACATGACACCACAAGTGAGCAGGTATCCCAGCCTATGTGAGGTAGGCATCCAATGCATGTGGATAAACATTGATTTACTTCAGAAGGCGGTCAAGGCAAAGAACCGGCAGCCAAATGAAAAGCAAAGGAGATTCAAAGCTGCTGCTGTCGAACCTTGGACGGTGAGTGGACATCCCATGTAAGGGAACCAATTAACAACACAAACACCTAAATCAGATCAGCCTCTTAACAAAATATGATTCCTCTGGCGAGGGCCCGGCAGCCGCGACAAGGGCTCCGCATCACCTGTGCGAACATGGTAGTGTTGACCGTTGACCCTACAGTTTTTGAGTCAAGGGTTGCCCTCTTGAAGCATTGCCCCTCAACATGGCAAAAAGCTGATGCTAAAACTGGTGAATACAGGACAAAGAGCCCCTGCGACATCAAAGCCACAAAACGGGTGCATTTGGAGAGGGCGTCGAAGGCTAGGGGAACCCGGCAGATATCCGGACCCCTCGAAGCCAGGACATGGGTTCTCAATGAGCAACACATCTGCACAGTTCGGGTAAGACAGGCTGAGGACCCTGTTTGCTTTCCCTGCGGAATGCCCCGACACCGGAAAGCCAGCAAGACATCCAGCAACACCAACTTGAATTGCAACCCTAAACCAACCGGACGCCCACCTCCCACAATAGCAGCCCTTTCCAATCCACCCTAACCCAGCCATAAAGGACATTGCTGTGCCCCGCCCCAGGTAGTGTGTGGTGCCTACTTTCCTGACCGATGCACCAATCTAAACCACCAATAATTGAGAGTTCCTGAACCTAGCAGCTGACCAAGTGACAAGACACTCAGGCCCTTCCAGCCCACTGCCAACGGTAACCCCCAAACAAGATCTGTTTCCACAACACGGAAGAGAATAAGCAGCGCTTGGGCCTGTTGAAAAAAAAATGGGGGGGGGGGGGGCAAAGCCAACATGGTCGCCTTGTTGAACTTCCCCAAGAAAAGGGTTGGGTTTCCTACCCCGGAGCCTATCTGGGCTGAGACCCCAAAAAGTTCAGGTGATATCAAGTGCGAGCCCGGCTGCCTTGGGTGACGGGAGGTTCCAGGTTCAAGTCCTGTTGGCTCTACTTTTGTCTTCAAAGCCACAACATAGGGCAACCCTGAAAAGACACACCCATTCACACAGCCCAAGCATGCAACACAAAAAAAAGTTCAGGTGATACCCCCAACAGCATGCGGTGCTCTTTTTAGTGCTCGCACCACGCCGCAGCCCTCGCAGAACCTCGTGGAACCCTCGTGGAACGCTGGTGGATCCCTCGTGGAACCTTACCTCAGGGCCGCCCGGACCACCCCGGAGCCTAGGCTGAGACCCCAAAGCTTTCAGCTGTTGGGGAAAAACAAACAAGAACAAGCTCTTAGGCACCATAATAAAAGGGGCTCTCTCCCACCATTCGCCCTGGCCTAGACGCCGACCGCGGAAGACAAAGTGCACTCGCCTTAGATGGCAGAAGAAGCCACTGCCACGGAGCCCAAATCTTGCCAGCACATCGGTCTTCAGCTTCATACTCACCTGCTTGCCGCCTCATGCGCCTTTTCAGATCGGGCCAAGGATGACCTCCCAAGACGACCGCAAAACAGGCTCCTCGATCTGGGTGTACAATACAAGAGATGATCAAACCAATTCTTGATTGGACCTGACGAGGTTTCCTTGGACACTGTTGAATGACTTTTTTTACCCTCAACCGAAAAAAATACACGAAGCCTTGGGCCGTTTGCTTTAGAGTCAACCATCTTAGGAACACCGGCTGCACCCAAAAAACCTCTGAGGTCGCGCGCACCGAGTGATTCTTGCTCTGAATCCAAGGCGTAAGACCCCGGCCAGCCAGAGGCATCAACCCCCAGGTACATGGGGTCCTGAGGCTCAATGGTTGAGGCACATCTCGGAGCTAAGTGGAAGCCCTGGTTTCTGAGTGATGCAAGTCCCGTCCCAAGTCTTTCAGTCAGAATTCAAACCACTTGAGGGGAAAATACCCCTCTCCTCCAAAATGGGAAGGGTTCTACTTGGATTCGGGGGCCAACATTAAGCTTCCTGCCTTCTGACTTCTAGATCTTGGGGCAAAGGTGTGAGTTCGGTATGGGATGAGGGATGTAGTTGAATCGACTTCGGCCGACCTTATTGCTTCAAGCGAGGTCTCTCAACACGCCCCTGTGGTGAAAGCCCCAAAGCCGGGGAGGGGACTTGTGAACTCGATTGGAGCGTATCATGCTGGTGTCTAGGGATGCCATGACCAGCTGAGTTGTCGAACGTCTTGGCGCCAACTCCTTACTTCCGCGGGAACTACAGGCTCACTTGTAGTTTCAGGAAAATGGTGCGGGAACTCCTGCTGTTGCTTCAAGCAGATGGGGCCAACGTCTAAATCGAGCACACCCAAACTCACTTTTCAGGGTTCCAACTTGTGTCACTTTGAGGCCAACACCTCAGGTGATTTTGAACGGATACCGGATACACAAAGGAAACAATCGTTTCAAGAGAAAACAGGGGGAATCCCCCCATTTGTGTATTGTTTTGAAGGGCAACTCAATGGACACCTATTTCTCAGAGTGGATGGCCCAAGAAAACTGTCCAAGCTTTTCATTCACCACTAAAATGGTCTTTCCAAAAAGCATAAAGTCCAGAAACTCAGGTTTGCGTATTGCTTTGCAGGGGAAACCCAAGGGACACCATGTGTGACGAACATGCCACCAAGCTCCGACACGAGGCCTTGAGCTGCGCCAACGTTGCCGTGCTTTCCAACTGCACGTCCATGCGCCGCTCCACTCCTGGTTCATCAATTCATATCAATTCGTTTGGGGAATGAACCTGGGGATCCCCTGAGAAAGAAAACTCAACGGATGGTGCGTAAGCATCATTTCCTCCTTCTTTGAGCACCAAGAAATGTGCCTGACTGGTGGATTTTCATTCGGGGTGTCCTGTTTAAGAGGGGTTTCACACTTGGCCACAATCAATGAGGCAAGTGGACGCATCCGGGTCGACATGACCATCTTCAACAGGCCGCCTGTCCCACGTTCATGGTTGTTGGAAGGGTAGCAGCAGTTTGACACGGCTTGTCGTGACACTTGCGCATAAAAAAATGAATCCAGCAACATGACACATGTGCAGAAAAGTACCAGCTAGAGACCCTTAAGGCAGTTCCTAAGGAATTTTGATCCCGGATCGTGTGGGTTTGTAATGACCCATCGCTGACCCCAAGCAATGTATTTCACTCTAGCATTCAACTGCTGAGCAGTTGAAAATGCTTAAAGCAAACTGGGATGTGTTCTCTATTGACATGCCATCTATCATACCAGTCTGTGCTACACCTTTTAAGGCACACACCCACCCACCCACCCAACCAAGCACGCACGCACGCGCACGCACGCACGCGCGCGCCCGCGCCGCGCGCGCCCGCGCGCGCCCGCCCAGCCCGCACGCCCGCGCATGCGCGCGCCGCGCACCCCCACCCCCACCCACCAACACACACAGACACGCACAAATCTGAACAAAGGAATCAGGAAACCGGGAACCTCCATCATGAGTGACATGAATGGCAAATCAAATGTCATTGAGGCTACTCTCATTTGTCCAGACAAAGCCAGACCCATCCTTCCACCGCTTGCCTGAGCCATCTAGGATCTGCAAGCGAAGCTGCACCCTGAGTGCGATCTTTCTCGTGAGCGCCGCACCTCTTCAACATGATGCGTGATCGAGGACACCTACCTTAGGCACAGCCCAAGTGCGCTGTGGATGACAAGGATGAAGAACTTCTGAAGAACCATATTCATCGGTGCCGAGCATCTGTGGTTCATCCCTTAGCCATGTGTGTCCCCCAAAATGTCGTTCATAAATTTTAACCCATATGGGTGTCTCTGTTTTCATAGTACCCCCCCCAAATGGGTTTTGTTTTGGTTTCCCTTTATAGCCACAAGAAAGGGGCACCCTCCACAACACCTCCAAATTCAACCTCAAGGAATAGCTCCAAGTCAACTCAAGACGATTTGAGAAGCCTTCAGCAAGGAACAGATTGGTTGAAGGAGCAGCTTGGTTCAAGGGGCAGCTTCTTTTGGTTCCTCGGGTTTGGAGTATCCGTAGACCTCAAATGGGTGTGGTCAAAAATAGGGGACCCTTCCATGGAGGCCGCTCTTCAATGGGGTTTCAGGGTACAACACCTCGCTTCCGAACCCGAATGGATTGGCAAACAAAAACAAGCCCAAACTGCTTGCTTACCACTAAAATGGGAGTCTTTCAAAGTTTGAAGCCCAGGAACTTAAGACACTAGAACAAATTCCCCCACCCTTGCTATTCGGTCATTGTTTAAAGGTTCCCAAAGAGCTACACGTTTGGCTGGAATCCTGTAGCATCGGCTTATCTTCACAAATTCTGCAACACGTCAAACATCAAATTGGTGATTCATATTGCCCCTGGTAACCTGACAGAAGTCCTGTACTTTCTTACTCACGGATCTCACCTCTCTGTGATCTCATTCCGCAATATGTGCCCGGCTGGCTCGCTGGCTCCTGCCATTCAAGCAGCCCACGGAATCGTGGATTGGCCACAAGTCCAAACTGGAACTGTTTGCCAGTAAGCTTGTCTTGGGAATGTGAGACAAAAATCGGGGGACACCTGGGACCCTTGTCTTCCCAAGACATATAGGGTATGTGAGTCTAAATAGGGGGACCCCCAGGACGCCCCCAGCAAATGCTTTGAAATACGGTAGGTGGATGCGCTCAATATTGTGGTTCACTTGCAACACTTTAGAATCCAGTCTTGCTGTTGTGAACTGAGCCGGGCTCCGCCTCCTGCTCCTGCTCCAAGTGCCTGGCGGCCGGACGCTCCGCGCCCCTCTGGGTATGGACGTTGCGCTCTACTAGAAATGGTCAAATCCCAAACTAAAACCAATCAGATCACTCCTAGAAACCAGTCAAGTTCTCACCTAGACACTAGACAAATCCCCTCCAAAAACAGGTCCAGCCAAATCCCCTTTCAACGCCCAGAAGCCAGTCAAATCCCCTCTCAAAGCCGGTCCAACTCCGATCAAATCCTCCTAGAATCCGGCAACATTCCCCCTAGAAACAAGTCAAATTTCCTAGAAATTTGCGCCTTCCCTTGGCCCAAGCCCACGCGCGGACATGCGCTCACAACAAACACAACACTTCAAGGCAAACTAAAACACAGTATGTACCTGAAAGCCAGCCTCCATCAGCCACCATTGTCCCAGCGTCCTTCAGCAAGCCAGTCAGGAGTAAAACAACTAACTTGGAATCAAACCACCGGCGCCCCGATGTTGCTGTTTCTGTATCCTTTTCCCAGCTCAGACGATATCCACCCAAAGCCAAGCCAGCATAGTGTGAGCTAACAGCTTGGTCCAATCCCATCCTAACTCGAGAAAAGCCTCGAGATGCCATCCCAAGCACAAATCCAGGACATGGGCTTGCAGTAGTCGAACTTTGGCAGGTAGGGGTGGATTGGCTCTCGAACGGGTCGCAAACGAATCCCAAGGGTCCAGATATTTGAAGGCCTGAGGGCCCTTATGAAGTTTGTTGCGGTGCTGATGGCACGCTCCCCTGCCTCTCTTCCGCCATGGCTAGGGAGGCAAAGGGCTGAACAAAAGAACACCTGAGAGATAGCTGTCACTTGGGCAGAACCGGAGCACAACACGTGGAATCTGCTTGAGGCTTCAGATTTCAAAAGTGCGTACAAACCATGATACCATGACATGTCTGCTCGTCTGTTGCTTGCTGCCCGATGTCCATATGCTCACTTCCTTTGTGGAGTGGCCAAAAAAGTTCAAACTGTCTGTTTACCACTAAAATGGTGGTTTTCCCAAAACTTTGAAGTCCAGGGACTCAGGGAGTGAGTAGTTTTCAGGGTTTGCATAGAACAACTGCTTTGAGTTGGGTTGTCGTCTCGAGCAGCGGTGGCCGAAAGCGCAGGTAGAGCAGCAGAAGCCACAAGGAGGCTTATGCAATATTGACCATGATCAATACCTTCCCCGCCCGAAGGCAAAAAACATACACAAACAGAGGTGACGAGGCGACTCAGGACTTAAACCCCAAGAATTCCCTTGGCATCTTGTATGGATTTAGGATCTGTTGAAGGGAATTGCGCATTTGCAGTCCAGAAGTATAAGGCACCAAGGGACCAAGAGGGTTGAAGCAAGACTGTAGTGAAACGACGAAAACACAAACAGAGGTGACGAGGCGACTCAGGACTTAAACCCCAAGAATTCCCTTGGCATCTTGTATGGATTTAGGATCTGTTGAAGGGAATTGCGCATTTGCAGTCCAGAAGTATAAGGCACCAAGGGACCAAGAGGGTTGAAGCAAGACTGTAGTGAAACGACGCAAAGTTTGTCAGAATGAAGCTGATGACCACCCCTGACTTGCCATCATCAGGGTTCACCTTCCGAAACCTTAGCATTCAGATCAGTTCAAGTAGGATGGTTGATCGATGTCATGCCTCTTGGTACGCACAGCTCACATTTTGCATCCTGCTCCCCATGTCTCTCCCCCATGGGGCTTGCAGGATCCCATCCCCGATCCGCCACGAGCGGCTCAGCCCCTTCTGGCCAGAAAACGTGGCCCACTGCCCCTTTGTGGCCCACTTGGCGCGGCCCCCGCGCGAAGAAGCTTCCCTCTTGCTGCAGAAGCCGTGCATGGAAACAAGAAAGCACCCGACATCTTTGAAGTGGAGACCTCCCTGCTTTATTTCGCTACTTCCCTAGCAATATTGAGAACATCGCTTTGACACGCAACGGCATCTCTCCATGCATCAATGGGTTCTTCTCTCAGCTGGATACATACCTGGCCAATCCAAGGCAACTAGAACCAGACTTGCTGCAAAATTGGGGAACCTGTGGATGGACGAAATCCGATTGTACCACCTAAGAAACCATGGTTGAAGCCATTGTTTATCGGTATTTACAAGGGAATCAACATTCCAGGGTTTCTTAGGTGGTGCAGGATTTCGTCCATCCACAGTATGATATGGTGATACTTTCAGTCAGGAACACCATCTGCAAAAAAAAACACGAACTTGGCCACTGCTTTCCCTGTGGATACACAATCATATTAACATAATTTTCATGCCGAGGCGTGTATGTGTCATGTCACATGTCTCGATGCAGGCGGCCGATGAATCAGGATAGCAGGTCCGACCAATCCACGTAGCCGAGGATCCTTGAAATACGCTTATGACATTTTTGCAGCCACACACCGAGGTGTCTTCTTGTGTTTTTTTTGTTAATCATCGATTTCATTATCCTCAACACTATCCTTTTTTTTAAATCCTCATCGGTTGTCATTATCCTCCAGGTTATCATGTTCTTATCCTCATGGTTTTTCATTATCCTCAAGATTATCACTGCTTTTCCTCGTCGTGTTTCATGATCTTCCTCGCTTGCCTGCCTGCCTGCCTGCTCGCTTGCTTTGCTTTGATTTGCTGGGCTTGGCTTTGCTTGCTTTGCTTTGCGAGTGTAGTGCGTATGTCCGATATATGCAAGAAACTGAGCAGATGGAACAGCTTTTGTGGAGCGTGTCTGCCGGTGGCTGTGTTGAAGCTCGTTTCAAATCGTGTTCCAGAACAGGGGAGGAAAATAGGGAGGATGATTTTTGGAAGGTTGATGTCAGGTAATTTGTTGGATGATTTATTGAAGATGGATTCCGGTCAGGATGATTTTTCGAAGATTTTTCGAAGATTGTTCGATTATTTTTTGAAAAAAAAAACAACAGGGGGGTTTTGCAACTTTTTGCATTGTTTTCTGACCACTGTGAAGGGGGTTTGGTCCTGAAAATGTGGGTTGGGGATGATGTTCGATTATTTTTCGAAGATTGTTCGATGAATTTTTGAAAGAAAAAAACAACAACAGGGGGGTTTTGCAACCGTTTGCTTTGTTTTCTGACCACTGTGAAGGGGGTTTGGTCCAGAAAATGTGGGTTGGGGATGATTTTCGAATATTTTTCGAAGATTGTTCGATGATTTGTTGAAAAAAAACAACAGGGGGTTGTGCAACCGTTTGCTTTGTTTTCTGACCACTGTGAAGGGGGTTTGGTCCAGAATATGTGGGTTGGGGATGATGTTCGAATATTTTTCGAAGATTGTTCGATGATTTTTTGAAAAACAACAGGGGGGGTTTGCAACTTTTTGCTTTGCTTTCTGACCACTGTGAAGGGGGGTTGGTCCAGAAAATGTGGGTTGGGCATGATTGTGGAAGATGTTTCGAAGATTGTTCGATGTTTTTTTTTTTTTTTAAACAGCAGGGGGGTTTTGCACTTTTCCTGTCATTCTCAGGAGTGGGGCAGGCATCCGGGCTCAGGAAGAAAGATGACAGAGGGGAGAATGGAAAGGGGCGAGGACGGGGAAAGAAATGAAAGGAAAGGAAGGGGAAGAGTGAAAAGGGAAAGAAGGAAAAGGACGGGGCAAACAGAACGGGAGAGGACAAGGAAGAGAAAAACGAGAAAGGAGATGGAAAATGGAAACAAGAAGAGGGAAATTTAAAGGGCAAGGAACGGGAAGGAAAGGAAACTGGAAACGCAAAGAATAGAAGCGATGTGGAGGAGGGATGAGGGAGGAGGGAGAGGATGATTTTTCGATGATATTTTTTGCAGAGGATGATTGTAGGATTATTTTTGGACCGGTTTGAGGATAGCCAAATCGATGATTTTTTGAAAGAAATAAATATTTCAAGATTTCCAGTCTCTGGCTGGCTAAAAAAAAACATAAACAAATACGCTTTCCATCATCAGGAAAGGCCCACAGCTATGAAAGGCAGGATGCTCACACAGGACAGTCACTGCTCAACGACCATAATTTCTGGGCACTTAAGGTGCATAGCATTGGGTGCTGTCCATGTCCACGTCACCTCAGAAAGCGGATCGCGGGTTGGAGCAACCCATCAAGGTTAAAGTGGATGATGCCCTGGACATGATCTTCTCATTGGGGACGCAATAAACGATTGTTCCTGTTCTCCTGTTCAACAATTCGATGCAGCAAAGGCGCCCTAATAGTACAAGCCCCCATATTGGTGTCTTTTCAGGAAGGTAGCTTTTGGCGGTTATCAAGTTATTTTGAACGAATCCAAAGGGCACCACCTTTGTCGGGGGCTTCCTCATTCAGAGACGAACCCTATTATTTGGGAGACATAATATGGGTACGAAACCATCACGTATCCAGTGTATGGATTCGACTCAATCAACATGACATGGATGATGGCCGCTCGTAACCGAAAAGACACTGGATCTGGATAAACTGCTTGAGATTCCGGCCAGGACTGCTTGGGACCTGTGGCATGTTGACATCGTTTTCCATGAGGTCAGTACAGTGACTCCAGCCATGTTGAAATTGAAGGCCTTCAAGAGTGGCGCGATGTCGCTTCATGTTGGGCGCGTGACGCCAATTTATCCGCCACAATATGTGATTCATGCTCAAGTTGGATCACCCCTCATTTGCTGAAGCCCGTTCTCAAAGCACATCACGGAACATGTCCATCCTGTGTGTGTGCATACATATATATATATATATATCTATGTACAAGTTGCAGCTTCGTCAAAAAGGTGGGCCCTCCAAAGTGAAGGAGTCCCACTAGCATGGAACCGGCAACCGACTGCTCAGATTTGCTTCAGACGACTTTGTGCATTGGGCTTTAAAACAAAATCCCTATCATAAATGATCTTTTGGAAAAATCATGACCCTGACCAACTTAAACCAGTGGCACCCATCTATATGTCTAACCAAACAAACCGATCAATATCTACATGTATGATCTCTATAGTGAGACACCATTACAAAAGGGGTCCCTTTCCAGACTCAAGGGAAGCATTCGATTGCTTTTGAACAGGGGCAAAAACAAGTGACTCAACAAAATCGGCCCTTTGCCGAAATGGCACCGCTGCTTCAGCTTGCCCAGGCAAGCCATGGCTACCCAAAAATACCCAAAACTTACGCAGGGTTGCCCAGAGAGGAACTGGATGCGTCTGAAGATGAAGGACTCCCCATAGGTGAGTTCCTTTTGGTTTTCCTTGTGCCATATGGGTTGTGTCCCAAAACACGGAGGCCCTTCAAATCACGGTTTTCCTTCGAATTCCACAAGTAATTCTAAAAACGAGTGCCCGTTGAGACGGACCCAAACACCTACCTCCGAGACAGCGGCTCGGCACCGCACCCGAAGACCTCGGCTGAGAGAAGGCCCATGAAGGTTTGGATTCCTTACAATGCCCTTTTTGGGCATGTTGAAAACAGACTAAAAGGTGGGTGGCCCGAAAGCATTACCAGCGCGCGGCGGCAGCTGGAGACTTTGTTTCGTGGCTTTGCGCACCGTTCTTTTAGCTATAGTTTAATTCCCGCAAGGTGCCGCGCTAATCCGGAGACTGCGGGACCGCAGAAAACACCAAAACCCACCTGTCAGCGCTTCTAGACGCACGATCCTTTGCAGAGGATCACGCGCGAACCGCGGAATCGCAAAAAATGCTTCGTTTCGAGCAATCCCCGCCCTCCACACTCACGAGCTTACGACCGTGAACACGGTTGTGTGAATTCAAGCATGGTTTTCGAGTCGCTTGGGGCCTATGACTGCTCAAAAAGCTTTGCATTGAGAGCCTTATCCACCTGTCTGTGTGTCAAACTCCACTT